ACCTCTGTGGTTTTCTTTCATAAAACCTATAACCCCATTATAATCATGAGAAGGACATCAAGACAAACCAAAATTGAAAGATTCTACAAAATGCCTGATCAGTACTCTTCAAACTGTCAAGGTTGTGAAAGACAAGGAAAGACTGAGAAACTGTCACAGACCAGAAGAGAAGAGCTGATGGGATGGCTCAATGCAATGTGGTATACTGGATTCAATCCTACAAAAGAAAACGGACATTGGTGGAAAAACTGGGGAAACTGAAAAAAGTCTGGGCTTTAGTTAGCAGTAACCTACTAATATTGGGTTTTATTAGTTTCAACAAATGTACCACAATAATGTAAGAGGATAACAACACAGGAAATGAAACTAGGTGTACAGTATTAGAGACTGCTGTACTATCTTTGCAACTTTTCTGTAAATATAACCTTATTCCAAAATAAAAAGTTTATTTAAAAAAAGAAATCTGTGAGTGAGAACTGGCAGAAACAACAGAAAACAGGGTCACAAACACCTCATATATTGAAAGTATCAGATGCCAAATACAAAACTTCGTTAATCTGTGTAAGTCTTTTTATTAAGAAAGAAAGTCTATAGCAAACATCATTCATAATTGTATAATGGTAAAGGACTTCCCTTTGGGACTGGAATCAAGATAGAGATGATTACTATCACTACTTATACTCGCCATGTACAAAGTCCTAGCCCACACAGTAAGGCAAGAAAAAGAAGTAGGAAGTATAAGAATTAGATTGAAAGTAACAAAATAGTCATTATGTATACATTATATAAATTTATATCTCTATACAAAATATATATCTCCATACAATTTATTAGAATTTTTTAAAGTTTGGCAGTTTCAATTTATTTTTATATCTTAGTAACAAGCAGCTAGAAAGTTGATTTTTAAATTATATAGATATCATAGCACAAAGATCTCAAGTATCTATGAATAAATCTAGCAGAAGTATAAGACTTCTAGACAGAAAAGTTTAAATTTTATTAGAAAATATTTTTAAATTAATATATATATACCATATTAATGAGATGGAAGACAAGATTGTAAAGATGTCAATTCTCTTCAGATTGACCTATAGAGTCAACGCAATCCTAACCAAAATCTCGACAAGATTTTGACAAGCTGATTTGGAGATGCAAAGGGCCAAGACACTTTGGAAGAAGAAAAGAACATGGGAAGATTTACTCTTCAAGAGTTCACGTGAAGTTGTTGTCGCCATGACGGTGTGGAAACACATAAGGAGAGGCTGTCATAGGTCAATGGCAGAGAAGAGAGTGCACAGAAACAGACCCTGCACATATGGCCCCTTGGCTAATGGGAAAGGGAGCACTACAGATCAGTGGGGAAAGGGATGGTTTAACAGATTAAAGGACTCTCAGACAAAAATTCATAAGAATTAAAGTAGAAGCTTTAACCGTAGATCAGACGGGAAGTAATATGGTCTCAGATAAGACAGGAAATGTGGGGGGAAAAACACAAAAACATTCACTCAGCGTAAGGCTGTGGGTGGTGGGAGAGCTGCCCAGGTCATGCTGGAACGAAATGGGCTGTAAAACCAGGGCAGGCATATGAACAAGAAAGTAAAGCAACACTTGAAACCAAACTGCAAATAGAATCAATCTGGAAGGATAACCCAGAGGATGAAGAAAACATCCCCAAAGCACTGAACATCACACAAAAACCTAAATAATAAAGCAAGAACATGAAGATAGGGTGATAAAATAACAATATGTGACTTCAAGTGGAGTTGGAAGAGCTGTAGAAACAAATTAAGATCCCCCCAAATAAACAAATCAACTTAAAAAAAAACCCAAGAAACCAAAAACTACTAAAAATTAAATAATTGTCATGAAGAAAAGTTTGAGACAACCATCACAAGCAGAAAGTAAAAAGCTAAAGAGATGAAAGATTAGGGACAGATAAAAGCTGTGAAGGCTGAAGTTGCTCCAGTGGAAGAATAATTTTGCCCCAAAATTGAAATAGAAAATCGTTTTGGTGATACTAGAGGAGAAACTTACCCTGAAGTAAAGGTAGAATTGAATCTATCACCTTAAAAACACAAGGGCTATATTTAAAGACTGTGCACACAGAATTTATCAATAACACTCTGCATCACTTTATTTATTCATAATAACAAGGGTACATCTATTTTATAAAATCAATACAATAATAAGGCTATACTTTAAAGTTTAAGCTTTAATAAGATAAAGTCACCACAACAAAGTGAAAGGGCAAGGAAAGTATATTTATAAGTTTCAGAATTTTAGCAAATTCTCCCTTACAGTTAAAGAAAGAACAATCACCTCAACTCACTAACACTGGCAATAAATCAACCAGCACTTCATAGAAGAGGCCAATAGACAAAAAAACTGTTCAACCTCTCAATTAATCAGGAGGGTAAAGTTAACAAGATGCAACTCTTGATCCACCACCTCTGCAAAGTTTGGGTGTGGGGAGATGGCTCACCTAAATCTTGTAGGTGAATACATTGGTTCAGCTACTTAGAAAGGCCGTTTGCAGAATCCATAAACAATTAAACATTAGTACCCTTTGCCTCAGCAATTCCACTTTTTTGGTTATTGACACAAGACAAACACTTTTATATGTACAAAAATATAAAGAAATACATCATCATTGTTATCACTGCTTCTTCGTAAAAGTGAACAATTGAAAATGATCTAAATGTCTGTCAATAGGGTGGGGAGGAGGGATGCTTTAAAAACCATGGTGTAGGGGGCTTCCCTGGTGGCGCAGTGGTTAGGAACCCGCCTACCAATGCAAGGGATGTGGGTTTAAGCCCTGGTCTGGGAAGATCCCACATGCTGCGGAGCAACTAAGCCTGTGTGCCACAGCTAGTGAGCCTGCGCTCTAGATCCCATGAGTCACAACTACTGAAGCCTACATGCTGCAACTACTGAAGCCCACACGCCTAGAGCCCATGCTCCGCAACAAGAGAAGCCACTGCAATAAGCCTGCACTCCACAACAAAGACCCAATGCAGCCAAAAATAAAAAAACAAAACAAACAAAAAAAAACGATGGTGTAAGTCAGAATGGCCATCATCAAAAAGTCTATAAATAATAAATGCTGGAGACAGTGTGGAGAAAAGAGAACCCTCCTACACTGCTGGTGGGAATGTAAATTGGTACAGCTACTATGGAGAATAGTACGGAGATTCCTTAAAAAACTAAAAATAGAGCTACTATATGATCCAGCAATCCCTCCTGGGCATATATCTGGAGAAAACCATACTTGGAAAAGATACACGCACCCCAATGTTCATAGCAGCACTATTTACAATAGCCAAGATGTGGAAGCAACCTAAATGTCCATCAACAGATGAACAGAGAAAGAAGATTGGTATATTTATACAATGGAATATTACTCAGCCATAAAAAAGAATGAAATAATGCCATTTGCAGCAACATGGAGGGACCTAGAGGTGAAGTAAGTCAGACAGAGAAAGACAAATCTCATATGATATCACTTATTTGTGGAATCTAAATATGATACAAATGAACTTATTTACAAAACAGAAACAGACTCACAGACATAGGAAACAAACTTATGGTTACCAAAGGGGAAACATGGGGAGAGGGATAAATTAGGAATTTTGGAGTAACATATACACACTAGTATACAAAGTAGACAAACAACAAGGACCTACTGTATAGCACAGGGAACTATACTCAATATTTTGTAAAACCTATATGGGAAAAGAATCTGAAAAAGAATATATATTTTTATATGTATATATGTGTGTGTATGTGTATATATATATATATATATAACTGAATCATTTTGCTCTACACCTGAAACTAACACCATATTGCAAATCAACTATATTTCAATTAAATAAACAAACAATAAAAACGATGGTGTATCCATTCTACGGGATAGTATTGGGTTGGCCAACAAGTTTGTTCGGATTTTTCCGTAACCTCTTACGGAACTTTTTGGCCAACCCAATATATAGCTGCTAAAAAGAATGAGAAGAGCCTATGGCTATTAAAGTCAGTGAAAATGCAAAATGGCATTCACAATATGAATCCGTTTTTTAAAAAAACAGGATTCAAATTTTGTATTTAAGAAAATGAGTTATATATGTAAATGCAAAGAAAAGGATCTGGAAGGTTATGCCTGCGACTCTAACAGGACTGGTATTGGAAGCTGCAAGTGGGTGAGTGGTGAACAGGACTTTTTCCCTCTATATACTTCTGTATCATTTGAAATTTTATGAGCAAGAATGCATAATGTATTTCTTTTGTATTAAAAAAATCAAAAAATTTAAAATATTAAGTAGTGGTATTTCTGACCCATTACTAGAGAAAAAGATAGGATTTCTACTCTTTTTCTTGTAGAGGTGTAACCTATTCCAGAACAGAAAACGAAACCAAACATAAAATTACTCAGCCTGTGCTAGCTCTTTGCAGTTTGAGGTATTTCTCTTCCCTTTAATTTCTTTGCTCGGGATCTCTGGAGGAAGAACCCAGGCCCCCAGCTAGAACTGGGAATAGTGGTCCCGTCCACAGGACAGATACGAGACCGACAGCACCACCCAGGGTTTGAGAATAAATCAGGGGTTTCTCCTGAATTTTTTATTTTCGAAACTACCTTCTTCGAAATGACCTGTGTGAAGGTAGAACTGACCTGAGGGGAACGAGAGTGACCTGGGGCCACAAGGAAATAAATCCTCGCTGCAAAGCCTCAGGAAGGACTGCTGCCTTCAGACAGGCCTGCCGGCTGAGCAGTAGCTGCAAAACAAGTAGTCACCTGTGTTGTGGCTGCAGGACTCAACCAGCAGGCGCCCTGCGGCAGTTTAAAATCCCTTCCTCATTATACATTCCTGCCCTTCATTACACTGCAGGTGACTGTTCCCCTACACCAGGCGTAAAGCAGAGGTTTAGTGCAGAGTCCAAAGGACAGCACTGAAGCAGCAGCGAGGCCAGAGCGAAAGGTGGGAGGAAGGGGGAGAAAGACTGACCTGCTGCTGAGCTCGCTGCCCCCACCAGCCATCTTCCCGCCCAGCCTGGCCTGGGCCTGAGCTTGGCCTCCGACCCCTCCAGGCTCCCCAGCCTCGGTCCGGTCCCGGGAGGCTGCTGGAGCCCTGAGCCCTGAGCCCTGAGCAGGAAGTCTGCTCTTGGGACTCACCCAGAGATGACTCCGCCCAAGCAGGGAAAAGGGAAGTGAAAGTATTTATCAGTGAGCTGTGCTGTGCAGATGCCCTCCCTCTTCTCGTAACTCCACTGTGCTTCCAGCCATCCTGACATGTGATCCCAGGGATGAAAGACAAGGAATGACAGTCGGGGCCTGGAGGGCCAGGGGAGGAGCAGGGCCAGCCCTCAGGGGTCCACCTGTTTGTGCAAAGACAGCAACAACTTCCGCATGACCCCAACTGTCGCCAGTCTCCTGCCTTCTCAGAGCGGTTCAGAGCTTAGTACATGGTCGGGGTAAACTCCATCTGTGCCCCTTCCCCTCTCCGAGATGACCATGGTGGGGAGAGGGAAAGACAGAGACTTCAAATCTTTTCTCCGGGCTGTGGGAGAGCCTGGACCGATGCATTTAGGTCGTAGCGTATGGACACGGACCAGGAGAGAGCCCAAATGCTCAGCTTTATAAAGTGGAGAGAATGTTCTTAGTATTCCTGGAAATCAGCCAGAGATAGGAGAAAAACCTCCAAGGCCCTGGGGCCAGAGGCTGGAGCCAAGTTGGTGACAAGTGTTACATCTTAGGTGCAAGGGTCCAAGGTGCCCCGACTATGGGGTTGCTTCACAACTGCAGCCAGGGGTGAAGAGGAGAAACCTGGGAAGCAGTCATGGGAATGCTGAGGGGCAAAGGCTTCCCTTTGGATGGAGATGGAGGTTGGAACCCAGATAACCTAGAAATGAAAAGGCAGGTGACCCCAGCTGAGAGGGTGACCCTTGGCCCTGAAGTTGTGTCTGTGCACAGGTTTTTCACTCAGATACTGAGCCATCATTCCACGAAGAATGAGAAGTGATCACCTGAGTGAGCACAAAAGCAAAGCATATTTGAAAATGAGGGGGAAGGTTTCTACCTTCCCTCCACTTCTTTCTTTCCCCCAAAGAAGTGAGCGTCATATCTCAGTGGTTAAGACAGATCCCAGGACACTGATGAGGGCATCTCTTCCAGTGGGCAGGGTCTCAGTGGTACCAGGTCCTGCACACGTGTGGATCCCTCTCTCCCTCCCTCACTTTGGGGGTGTAGAAGGACTAGTAAGCCGAGCCTCTGTTGGGCACAACCGTCCTCTGCTCCTGACTCCATGAGGCATGGGGTCCAGACAAGGCTGGCACAGACCACACCTGCCGTTTCTAGTGTCCCCTCTCCCTCTTCTCTCTGCCCCTGGGCAGCTGGTGGCCCGGGCCACTGCCATGCTGGCTGTTGACGTAAATGTGCCCACTTTTCTGTTGTCTGTTTAGGACCTTCACGTTGAGCGCCTGGAATCAGAGGCCACCTAGCAGCAGCTGGACGAGCAAGCCACAGGGTGGACACTCCCGCATGGGGGCTGCTCCTGGCCCCTGGCAGAGACCTTCCTGCGGGTCTGAGAAAGCCGGGCCTGTGCCACACTCTGTGAGAGCCGTGGGAGTTTCTGGAGCATCCCCAGGCCTCTGTGGAGAATGCAGTGTCTTTAAGCCAGGAACTCAGGTTTGGAAAAGGACAGGACCAGATTAAGAAGCAGGTTGATCCTAGGATAAACCATAATGAAAAAAAATATGTATATATAAAAGAGAATATATATCTGTGTATAACTGCATCACTTTGCTGTTCAGCAGAAATTAACACAACATTGTAAATCAACCACACTTCAATTAAAAAAAAAAAAAAGAAGAGGTTGAACTCCTCCTACAAACCCTGCTGGAGAGATTGAAGGAAATAAGGGGGCACCTGGGGCATTTTCCATGGCTGTGAGGACCGCTGGCAATGGGGAGCATCTCTGCTGTCCCGGGAGGATCCCAGCTACTGGGCCCGGAAACCCAGAGGGCAGGGGAGGTCGTGGGGGAGGAGGGACCTGGGGCAGAGGACCCCTAAGGCGACGGGCTTCACGAGCTTCACCAGGAACGGCTTCCCCTCAGACTTCAGCAGTGGGGCTGAGTCTCTAAGCTGGGAGACCCCAGTGGGGACCAGAGGCTTGTCCTTGAGACCAGACAGTAGGACCTGGGATCTGAGCTTAAAGGGCAGAAGGAAGCAGCGTCAGCTGCCAGAGTGGCCACTGAGGCCAGAGGATCAAGACCCTCCGCTCCTCCGTGGGTGTAGAAGTGGAGCGGAGTGGATGCTGGGACCCAAGTGGTTACACTCAGGCCCTGCTCCATTGTCCCCTTCCAGGGGCAGCACATTAGTCAGTGGGACTGGCCTGGACCCCCTGCTCCTCTCTCCTCCTGGGAGACTCTCTGGGTACAAGGGGTGAGTCTGCTTGTTCCTTGTCGGGTCTCCCTGGGCTTGTCCTTCCTGCAGGGCCAGGGCTCTGTCAGCCCTTCCAAGGTCAAGTGCACAGAGACAGGGGCCTGGGGGGTGGGGTGTGACTGATGGGAGCTGTGTAAGACTGTGTGGATAAGCTCAATTCTGAGGGTCTGTTTTAGGGATCTCTTTTTTGCTACATGGTAAGTCACGTCACTAAGCCCCATCCAGCTTTTATCATGAAGAAAACTAGTATTTTGATCCCCATCTGTCTCACCATTTTGCCTGTCAGTTGGTTTTGAATTCAAGTGGGGAGGGTTTATACACAGAATTTGGGGTTCTCCTCTGTGACTTTCACCTTCCTGGGATTTTCCTCTCTCTCCCCAGAAAGCCTGGTTGCCCTGGGCTTCTTCCTGGCTCTGCTGACCAGAAAGAAGGTGGGCTTCCTACCAAAGTTTTGGCCACCCCACGTAAGGCTGCGGCTGCTGTCAAGTAGAGTAATAATAAACAGGAAACATTTTGTCTGGCTGCTTCCCTTGAGTTTTGACTTCCCTCTACCATCAGCCTGCTTTTGTTCACTTTCTAGAAGCCGTAGGCAACTGTTCTTTGCATATTGTCCTCATAGGGACGTCTTCCACCCAGTTTACTTAGGGAGAGCTGGAGAACCCCGTTCTCTCCTCCAGACAGAAGGCCCGGTCCTCTCCAGCCAGATAGCAGGGTGTGTGCTGATGCCCTGGAACCCTCACTGGGAGGTTCAGGCTGAAGGGTGGAGCCCAGGACCTCAGGAGCATCAGTCCTACTGCAGTTCCCAGGGACACAGGCACACTCTCCCCAGGGAAGACCACAGCCAGGCTCCTTTACAGCCAACAGCCCACATATGCGTCCAGGTAAATGGAACCGACAGGGACGATGGGCTTAGTGGCCGTCCTTGCCCTTGGCTGTCCAAGGTGGTGGAGTGGACGCTCTCCCTTCTAACATGATGACAGACTCAGCCTTAATCTCCAAAGCACAGGCAATGGAACTACAGTCAACCTGTTCCATTCGATTCAGGAATGTGCCCCCCAGGCTCTGTGGCCTCTCAGACTGACTGGCCTGGGACCACCCCATTCCTCCCCTTAGACATCAGAGCTCACTGATGGTCCCCGGGTGGGTTCTGCCAGTCAGTTTCATTTTCCTTGGCTGTCCAGCCTCCTCCACCCCTTTCCTAAGAGACATGGATTCCTTTGGGTGAAGACTTCTCCCCTTTGCGTGCAGGAGTAGAAGGAATGTTAACCGAGACACTGGCCCATGAGCAAGCCAGGCCAGCCAGACTCTCTTCGGGGAGTTGGACTCTCACGTGAAGTTTGTTAAGGAGTTAAAACACAGTTGGATAACACTTGTTCAGTGGCAGCTCCGTAACAAGGTGGAGGAGATGTTCCTGGTGTTCAGTTCCTGGAGCAGCTCTGCTTCCTGCCTGGTTCTGGGGCCATTTGCAGGCTCTGAGCCCAGCCTCCTGCCTTTTCGTGAGCCACTGTGCGTCCCATCAATGAAGTCCATCAGAATTTGGGGTTGAGAGAGAGAGAGACAGAGTTCTGTTTCTCCAGAGAGCCCTGATTAATACAGTCATCAATATAGTGGACAAATGTAATGTACTGCAGGGTGGCCAGACAATCTTTGTCCCTTCAGGCTATATTGTGACAGAGAGCAGGAGAATTCACATAGCTCTGGGGCAAGACTGTAAACATGTACTGTTGTCCAGTCCATGTGAACATGAATTGATTCTTATCCTACTTCCTACTGAATTTTTTTTTTTTTTTTTTTGCGGTACGCGGGCCTCTCACCGTTGTGGTCTCTCCCGTTGCAGAGCACAGGCTCCGGACGCGCAGGCTCAGCGGCCATGGCTCACGGGCGCAGCCGCTCCGCAGCATGTGGGATCTTCCCGGACCGGGTCACGAACCCGTGTCCCCTGCATTGGCAGGCGGACTCTCAACCACTGCGCCACCAGGGAAGCCCCTACTGAATGTTTTAAAAGTACATTTCTCCATATTAATAGTTGCATGACATATACCATAGGCCGTGCTAACCTGCTCTAATGGAGATACCACACCAAGCAACAACAGCTGCAACTGGGGCTACTGTTGGTTAAGTTTCTAGTAGTCATCTGGCAGCCATGAACCACTTAGCTTTTGCAGAAGCCAGACTGCTGTTCAAACAAAGATGTAATGAGGATTACAACTCTTGCATCCTTAAATCTTTGCATGTGGCACTAATCTCTGTCATTCCCTCATTCTCCAGGACTGTGATTTTCTTTCAACTTACCATTTTCACCAAGGGAAAGTTCAGTTTCAAGCCCTTCTGCTTGGCCTTTCCTAAGACAGTCATTGTTATTTCACAGGTTAAAGATGCAGGTCAGTCAACTGCTATGTATGTTCTCATTATCCTTACTTTCAGGAACTGGGGTAATGGCTGCTGGGTGATCCCATGGATTGAGTGGACTCACTGTTAGATGGACACTACCTGACATCCATACACTCCACTCTAGCAGGGACCATGATGGTGTTTTGGGACCCCAGGTATTAGCATCAGTTCAGATCCTGTATCAACAACTGTTAAAAGATGTGTGTATTTTCCTTTGTTTGGCATATGGTTACTTGAATAAATGACCTTAGGTCCTTTTGGTGAAGAACTCAGGGAATCACTACTTTTACACTTGCTTATGAGACCTGCCCTCATTTCCATGAGCAGGTCCTAGCTTTGGCTCAGGTCTGGAAACTAGGCAAGGGATCTTGACTTTTTATTGGGGTAGCTGGTCTCAGCCATCCGTTCATCTATTTTTAATCTTTTTTGATGATATATATGAAGCAATATCCTTGTTGGCTGCCCATCTCTCTATAAGTTTAAGGTGTACAGCATAATGATTTGTCTTATGTACATCCTAAAATATTACCACAGGTTTAGTGACCGTGTCCAATTAGCTATCTCCATAGACTGCTTTGGGCCAGGGCTCCAGCCGTCATTCTAACCTTGCTGCACATTACAAAACTTATTTCATCTTGCTCTGACAGTTAAATGCTGCCACCTGGCTTCCATTATTCTAGAATCCTATCATTTCCATTGTCACTAGGGAATCCAGTTCTGTAAAACATTCCTCCATTATGCCAACCTACAGAGGACAGCCCCCACTGAGTATCTCAAGCATGCTGGTGCCCCTCAGCTGTGTGTTCCTTATCACCTTGTTAAGTTAATGTCTCTGAGGCCTCCTGAAGAGCACAGTAACCCGGTGGATGGGTTTTCCAGTTGCAGAGAGTGGAGCCATGCCAACATCCTGAGGCTTTTTTTTTTTTTTTGCAGTACGCGGGCCTCTCACTGTTGTGGCCTCTCCCGTTGCGGAGCACAGGCTCTGGACGTGCAGGCTCAGCGGCCATGGCTCACAGGCCTAGCTGCTCCGCGGCATGTGGGATCTTCCCGGACCAGGGCACGAACCCGTGTCCCCTGCATCGGCAGGCGGACTCTCAACCACTGCGCCACCAGGGAAGCCCCATCCTGAGGCTTTTGGATCTTCTTTTCCACAGTCTGCCCTGGCATCTCTGCTTCCACTTCATCTAGTATGTACCACAGTTTATACCAAGCTTTTTTTAAATTAAATTTTTTAATTAAATGTTTTTCTTCCAGTTTTATTGCAGTATAAGTGACATACAGCACTGTATAAGTTTAAGGCATATATAATGACTTGACTTATATACATCATGAAATGATTACCACAATAAGTTTAGTGACCAGCCATTTTTATTCCAAAATTAAAGGAATAGAAAAAATATATATATATATAAGCATTTAAGAGCCAGCCAGGAGCATACTGGATTCATCCCCTTTGGCCCTCGCCAGGCTAATTAAACTTCTTGACACAGGAGAGTGCTTCTGTGTTGACAATTTTCCCTTTTCCAGTTTCACATTCCCCTTCTTTGTCCAGGACCCACCCCCAGACACAATCTCCTGGTACCTGCTGGTACATGTTGGCCAGTCCTGCAGCTCCACTGGGGTAAATGCTCTCTTCAGCTGGCAGGACAACCCAGGACTTTCTCAGTGGGGTCATGCTGGGAGGACTCTGCAGTCTTCATTCAAGCAAGATTAGGATGGGGTAGGGGAGGGGTCTGTCTTCCAACAAAGGCTAGGGAATTCTTTTGCAGGCCCTGTGTGTTGAAGGAGACCTGGAGTTCAAGGTTCTCACTTGCATCTACCTAGAAAGGCCGATTCTGATTCAGGACTGCACTCCTTCTTTACCAGGGTGCTGCCTTTGGCACAGGAGACCATCCCAGTTTAGGCTGCAGTCTTCTCCTGTGTTCTGCCACTCTTAAACCTGGGACCTGGGTCAGGCCTTCCTTTTGTCTGCCTTCCAGCTGCAGTTGTAAGGGTGTCTTTGCTTTGACTAATAGATTTAAGGCTGTCATTTATTCTTTTCAATATATCAGTGGCACTTAGCAATAGCCACCAAAATCTACAATTCCATTTACCATTTCTCCCTTTGTGAATGCCAATTCCAAAAGCTAGTGAAATCCTCTTTATCTCATCGAGTTTCCCAAAGGTGAAAGTTTGGCAACAGCACTATTAAAGCACACCAGGGACCATCAATATACCACCCATCACCATCTGGCCAGACTGGGATCCGAATCCAGAACCCACCCTTACAGCCTGCTTGCTGGGATCGTTACCTTAAGTTGGGTTCCCTAGAAGCAGAGCCTGAGATAAAGTCTCTTAAGTAAGTGATTTATTGTGAGTTTCTTTGGGAGAAACGAGGGAGGGAAGCAGGATTATAGGAAAAGCTAAGCAAGGATGTGATCACAGCCACAGACTAGCTCCAGCCGGATCTCATGGGGAACACAGGAGCATGAATCATAACACAAGGTTGAGTCCACCTTGGCACTGGAGGCCGGCCCCCAGGCCAAGGAAGGGTAACCCTCTAGGTGAAGCTGGTTCCATTTGGCTGAAGGCAATGCTCTGGGGAGGGGCGGCGCGAGCAGCCAGCCTTCCATGCGGCTGGGGGATGACAAGTCTGCTCCAGAAGGGGTTTTCCAGGACACTAACAGCATCCACTATTCCAGTGAGCTGTCCTCGTTTGTCTCCCGAATAGTGAACACTTCCTTGAAATTCTTCTCAAATTCGGCCTCCAGTCTAAGTCCCATTTGGCCAAAGTCATTGAACTGGAAAAAAATAAAATAAAATGAACACAAAAATCATGATGCTCATTGTCAGTGTCATTGCCACCTTGTAACTGAGAATGATCAGGACTCTGGTCTTAGACACCCTAAGTTATATGAACCAGGTTATGCTAAAAAACTCACGCAGCGAGGAGCAACAAGATAGAAATGGGAACTCATAACCACACCTGGGGACTCGTACTTATTTGGTTGGGTTATTGATTTCAGTGAGAGTTAGAAAAGTAATCTATGCTCTTTGTAACAGTGCAAATAGTACAGATTGCTTTTAAGTTAGATCAATGACCTTCCTTTTTCACTGACACTTCTGTTCCCCTCTGGTGACTCCTGTTAAACTATATGATCCATTCACACGGAGTGGAATCTGGAGATTGGGATTTCGGAAGAGGTCAGATTGCGTGTTTTGGGGGAGAGATAAGAAGCACAGTGTGACTTTAAGATGCAAGTCTCTTCTCCCTGGGTTTGGAGCAGGCAGGACTCTGCTGTTCTCAACGGCAGCTGTAGGAGGGTCTGAGCTCTTCGAGGCCTGGGGTTCTGGTTGCAGGGACACCTTCTGATTCGCTGTTACTACGCCTTGCTGAGCTCCAGTCTTGAACGGAAAAGTCACTGACTTCCGGAACTCTTGCTTTGCAGGTTTCATAGGATGAGGGAAAGTAAAATTTCCCAGGCACCAGAAAATGAGGGCAGAGTGGCTCAATGGACAGAAAATGAAATGGAAGCGGGGAGAACCACTTACCTTGTAAGATGCCCTGTGGTTCTGAAAGATGAGGCGCATGTCCTGCACGAACCCCTCCACATAGGAGTAACCCTGCTCGTTCAGCTTCTTCTTGATCTTGTCCAACCACATGGGTTCCTTTAGGTTTTTAGAAGCCTCTTTAATCTAGTGAAAAACAAAAATCAATGGGAGAATTACTGGCAGAGTTCAATGTGTGCCTCCTGTGGATTCCCATCAAATCCAGTAGAAATACAAAAAGGTAACAGCAGCTCATGCTCTCACTCCCAGGGGATTCTGATCTCAAATCCCATGGGTACCTGTTTCAAGGTGGGGTAACATCATGGCAGCCTGTAATCACAGTTTGTTATTGTTACTTACATAATAGTAGTATGGAATCTTCGCAAAAAAGGTGCTCTCTGAATGACAATAGACCTTCAAGAGGAGGAACTCACATTTCTGCAAAAGAAGGTGGCTGTGAGTGAAAAGCAGCTTGGAGACAATGAGCCCATATACATGCCCAGGCAGAGGCATGACTCACACCAGTATCTGGAAGTTTCCCCAAACATGGATGGCTCTTGGAGACAGACATGCAATGGCTGCAAACAAGTTCTGGTGTGATTTCAGTGTGACTGAGTCATGGCTCACCCTTTGGTTGCCTTTCTCCTGACCCTGCCTATCTGACTTCTCACATGTGAGGGGAAGGGGGAAGAATTGGGGTTCCCACCCGACTCACCAACTGCTCCTCGGGCTGCATCTGCCTTGCCAGGACCTCAGATTCCCCGAGACATCGCTGGCTTCCTGAAAACTCCTTTGCCCTGCAGAAGGTGCAACTCCACAGGTCCCTAAGGGACCAGACATAAGTAAGTGAGGGAAAGGTCCCTGGAAACAGTCATCACTCCTATGTCTGATACTGTCCTCCTTTCAGGAATGTTGATGGACACAGCTGGAAGAGGAAAGGGGCACCTCCAGAGTCTCCAAGAACCCCACGTAGGGTCTGAGCCAATGACCCTCATCCCATCGAAGGAGCAACAAGGGGTCAGGGCATGGAGGTGGTGTCAGGATGAGTAGTGGGCTCTTCTTTCTCTGTCTGTTTCTGGGAGCACAAGGAATCCTACCCACCAGGCCTGAGTGTCCAAACTGGGTCTTAACCCCTGGGGGACCTCAGGCTTTCCTCAGCCCATTAAGAACGTGGCAAAATGAGGGAACCAGCCCATGTTTCCTGCCTTTTCTGAATAAGTGCAGAACACAAATGAGTGGCATTTCCACCCCCATGAACAGGAGTCCATGCTGGAAAACTTCTAGGAAAGGACAGTAGCAGTATGTGGGCAAAGGACCTGGCTACTGACTTAGAGGAGAGCAAAACGCATTAACCTGCCACTGCCAGCATCTTGAAACAGCTCTCTGGATCATACTGCTGGACCCTGTGCTTATGGCCCTGCTGTTTCCCCATCTAGACATAGTAAGAACTCCGTAGGGAGAGTGTGTACGGCAGGAGGAAGGGTCCCTAATAAGAAGGGAGGGGCTGCATCTCACGAACCTCTCAGTTTCCACAGGTGGGATGTGACAGTCCTCATGAAAAGATCTCGAACAAGTATCACAGCAAAACAGCTTTCCTCCATCCCTGCACGTCTCACACACATCTGAGTTTCCCAGCTAGAAGGTAAAACAACATCTATATCCCTGGTGAGACCCCAGAAGGCCAGAACTAGGGGAATCTAGAACTCATTGCCTTTGTGTGAATCTGAATGGACACTTATATGCTTCTCCCTGAGATATTAAAGAACAGCATAGCGTGGCGATTTCAGAAGCAGAAATTGTGGTCCGCAATGAAATTCAGGAGGAAGGGCCTCTGTGTCAGACCAGAAAAGTCTTCCCTATAAGCCAGAGACTCGGGCTTCCCTGGTGGCGCAGTGGTTGAGGATCTGCCTGCCAGTGCAGGGGACATGGGTTCGAGCCCTGGTCTGGGAAGATCCCACATGCCGCGGAGCAACTAGGCCCGTGAGCCACAACTACTGAGCCTGCGCGTCTGGAGCCTGGGATCCGCAACAGTGAGAGGCCTGCGCACCGCGATGAAGAGTGGCCCCCGCTCCCCGCAACTAGAGAAAGCCCTCGCACAGAAACGAAGACCCAACACAGCCAAAAATAAATAAATTAATTAAGAAAAAAAAAAAAAACAGAGACTCGAACACTGAAAGGCTAGCAACAAAACAAGACAATTTTTTAGGAATCTGAATAACTTTATTACCTTGCAGATAAAATAAGTTCCTGAAATAAAGTGTTAAATGCATTTGTCTACACCACAATAACTAAACTGACTCCTTGAAGGGTGATATATTTAGAATTTAATAAGGTGGATTAAACTTAGTGTGGAAAGTAATACAAGATTATTTTAACAATTATTTTGAGTCTTGTTCTGGGCTTTTGCGTGAAACTACTCGTGTTGGGTGAATTGGGATTCTGGCCATTCCTTTTTCTTTTTTTTTTTTTTTGCGGTACGCGGGCCTCTCACTGTTGTGGCCTCTCCCGTTGCGGAGCACAGGCTCCCGACGCGCAGGCTCTGCGGCCATGGCTCACGGGCCCAGCCACTCCGCGGCATGTGGGATCTTCCCGGACCGGGGCACGAACCCATGTCCCCTGCACCGGCAGGTGGACTCTCAACCACTGCGCCACCAGGGAAGCCCCCATTTCTTTTGCTTTTGAAATGGTCATATATGAGGAAGTGCTAGCTCCAAGGACCATTTTGCCAAAAAGCTCCCATTCAATGTTCTGGGGATCCTCAAGGACACCCCCCAATTGGAGACTGAGACTGCTCTGACATGGAGTCACGGGGCCATGTTTTTTCTCATCAGTGTAGGAACTGACAGATTACCATCATCGTTCTCTAGAAAGTGATGACCCCTCTTCCCAGAAGAACAAGGAATAACCAATATAACCAATGTCTAAGAACCTCACATTTGTGTATTTTTTAGCAGATTTATCTAGCTCTTTGTTTCTTAGTCCAGCTGCACATTAGAACTTTCAGGGCAGAGTATATAAAATACTAATGCCCTGGTCCCTACGCCAGAAATTCTGAATCAATTTGTCTGGGTAGGGCAGATCCATTGGCGTTCTTCTTTAATTCATGGAATGGGTAGTTTTGTGTATCAGAATCATCTGGGGAGTTTTAAACAATGCCAATGTCCAAGTCATAGCCTAGACTGATGAACAGAATTTCCTCTAGGGTGGGATCCAGGCAATACTATTTTCCAAAGGTCTTAGTTTCAGCCTAAGTTGAGACTTACCCTGAGCAAAGGGGATATGATAGGCCTGAATTGCTCTGCAATACCAGGTCCCAGGAAAGACTATTAACAGCAATGAGGGCACTCTTGCTGGAACAGGTGCCATCTCCTCCCCATGGACTCTTGGCCGTGGGCTGTGAGACCTGACCCTGTGTGTCTATATCCATCCCAAACAAGCCACACAAACACTGGACTCCAGCACTGTTTAGATGACTAAAGAATCCTTCATTTGTCCAAGGGTCAGAAAGAGTGTGGATAAGATCTAAATATTGTTGGGGGGATCGCTTTGAAGGTAAACTATAAGTAAAACTACTGGACTATCCCTCCTCTTTTGGACGTTGTGTATCAGTATTACTGCATACTAACCCATGTGAGTGCTTCCCCCTGGAGTTGTGCAAAGGTGACTCTGCTTAAAATCTCCATCTTGTTGCAATGAAGGGAATCAAAATATGATTCAACTTAGAGAGTGGAGTCATCCATAATTTTAGCAGACCTTAAAGCATCCAGCCGTATGGTACCAGTTTGAGTAAAAATGCCCTGTGATTTGCTATGTGGTGACCAGCTCAGCACCATGATGGCTCCCTCGAGATTGGATACGGGGCTTCCGTGAAGAACCCACTAGCCCTGAGTGCATTTCTCTGCAGGACTCACAACGGGGTTCACACCTTAACTTGCCAGGTTGGCCTGGCCTGTTCCTTCTGATTGACACTTAAAACCATCTAGCTCTACCTGTACCTTGGAATAGATGTTTGGGATTTTCCTTTCCTTCCTTATTGCCTTCTTTAAATTGCTGTTTTCTCCTCAAATTTCCTCCTTATCCTTCATCTGCAGGCCAGCCGCACCCATTACTACTTCAAGCCCAGGCTCTAGAGACCCCAGTGGTCTCAAGCTCTGCCTCCCAGACTCACTTTCGGGGGAAATGAGGAAATGGGAAGGTTTCCACTGAACAAATGGAAGGGTGCTTTCAGGCTGAGACACCCAACGCCAGAACCATGTACCTGATGTGGGTGACGCATCTGCTGTTCCCTGCTCATCACACATAGCAACATGCTGCACCTGAGTGTGAGTGTGCTTCAGGGAAATGCAGTGATGACTCAGAGAATGTGCCGAGGGAAAAGGCCCGCGTTATCCTGGGGTCACAGGCGGGCGTTAGTACTTACACAAAGGTCATCTAAAGTACTGTCATGAGACTTCGGTACTCTTTTCTGCATAAAAGAGAGAAAGATTAAAGGACAATATTGAATGTGATGTATGCATCCGTCACTTATTTAAACAGCAATCTGTTGAGGGATTCAAGACACGGTTTACCCATTACTTCATACCTGTTTTTATGGATACACATATCTACTTGGAAAATAAAAAGTACCAAAGTACCACTGTTTGGCCCAATGCAAGTTCTATTCCCTGGCTCTCAGATGCAAAGTGGGGTTTTGTGAAGCCATGCAGGGAGTCTGGCCCTGGTTCCCACAGATGGAGTGGGAGAAACTCTGCTGGTTTTCTTGCTTTGAGAGGCCCTTAGGCATTTTTCTCTATATTAGAAAATGTCATCCCAACTGGAGGAGCTGCAGGGAGAGTATCAGGCCGAGGACTCATCGTCAACAGCTCCAGTGACCACAGGGCCCAGAGGCCTGGCATCCATGCAAGTGTCCCAGAGAAGAATGTCACCACCTATCACAGGTCTCCCAGGGCACAGCCCCAAAGATAAAATGTGCCCAAGTTTCCCAGGGTTGCAACTCTTCTTCCAGAAGGTCACCCTCCTCTTCCCTCCCTCTGAATCCCAAAAAGTCAGCTAGCTGACTCTTCAGAGGTAACTGACTACCACCCACCAACTTTACATTGCGTTCCAATATTCAGTAGAATGACCTGACCTCCTTCCCTCTGGGACACAGGCAGCCTCAGCTTTTATCTGCAGCCCAGGGCAGAGTGCTCATGGAAAAGTGTGATCCATGGGACAGTGATCTGAGAGGTGTCCATGTCACTGCCCACGTTTCTGTGTGGCCTGAAGTTCACCACCCATCCCCATTAGTTATTCTTCCATGTTAGACAATGAAGTTGAAACGATCCTTGAGGTCAGAGATATTGCTTCAATCTTCTAATGACCACTGGGCGTTTAGTGTGCACTCAATCATTGTATGTTGGATAAGTGAATAAACGAGTATCATTTCACTTAGGAACAGATCACTTGCTATCTCCTAAGCAAATATTAGCCTACAATAAAAAGATTGTTCTAAAGGTGTGTATCAGATTATTTTACAACACAGCAGCTGTCATCAAAAGGTGTTAGAGACCTTTGTGAGGAGCCAGGAAGCTGTCATGTGGCGCTGAGAGTGACACTGAAGATTCCAGAAGCCAAGGGGCAAGAGACGTTCTGAGAGGCACAGAGGACCCATGGAGGTAGTAATGGGTCCTGAGATCCGCCACTTGGGGAGCTTCTGTTCTCGCTCACAGGGAGATGCAAAATATAGAGGTAACTGCAGGTTGTTGCTAAAAAGTGCTGCACCCACAAATAAGGGTAGAATCTGTTGGTAGGACATTGTCAGCTTGTGTGGGTAATCTAACTGAGTAACTCTTGGCACCTGGGGAATGGTACAGATGCCGGTCTTTAATATACTCACTAAGTAGTGCAAATAATATGATAGTTTCCCTTTAGGAAATCCAGTGGGTGAAATGTCCCAAGGACTTAGAGTTCAAACTGTCCAGAACATCAGATAATGTAAAGGCCTGGACCTCACATTCCCAGTGGAACATGAAGTCCCATTGGCCAGCTACGTCTGACCTGTCTTAGAAATCTGTGAATGTCTTGAATGGCCGTTTCTACATGAAGTGTATAAGAATGGCACCTCTCACCTCCTCCTTCTTCTCAAGTTCTCATTCATACCCAGCCCTGGAAAAACCATCACCATGTCCTGAATCTACACTGCACCATACATATTTGTTTGTTGCCTCCAGAGAAGAAGGAATCACTTTCATAGATAGAAGGGAGGTCTGCACAGCACCCCCTTGAGGAGCTGAAAGAGTGGCATCAGAGTAAACAATTTTCCGGGTCAGCCCCTCCTATACTTAGACTGTGAATAAACTTTTGCTCCATCAGATTTCATTAAAGTTAGGAAATAGTACCATGATTTTAAAAATCTGGGTTTGAGTTGAAGATGACCCTATCACCTTATTATGATATATTTTTATGTATTCCAGCATCATGTCTTCTTTTACAACTTTGACACCCTTACATCTGCATCTATAGCTAAAGCACATCCATGAGGTCTATTGTGATGGTTCCTTATCACCTCCATTTCAAATGGTTTACCATTCAAAGAAGATCTTGCCATATATACAACATAGTGTTCAAAGTAGCAACATTGAAGGTGCATACCGAAAGTTTTTAAAAGGTGGGAGTGGGGTGTTGGAGGAAGTTTAATAATAATTACCCAGTTGAGAAACCACAGAATAATACACAGTGCATGAAAAATCAGTTATGTAATGAGAACTTGTAGAAAGTTATGCAATAATCACCTTTCTCATCCTGCCATATTTCCTTGGAGGGTTATGGAGAAATCTTTTCTGAAAGATAAAAGGATCTAAGTATATGGTTGGCCTGTGAGTCTCGCATTTCGAACCTCCTCCCAAATATTTCTCCTGGGATGTCCCACTGTCAGCCCAAAGCCAAGGTGTCTAAATGAGAAATCATCTCGCTCTCCTCACTTGTACTTCTTCTAGAATATGATCAGTGGTAGCTTAAAAATCATCTTTAGAACTTTTTTTCCTCCTGTGCTTTTTTCCTAACTTTAAGAGGTTTTCCTTCATAATCTCTTTGACACCTCTCACCTCCTCTCCATTTCCACCAGTGTCACTCAAGCTTGAGTCCCTCTACCAGGGCTAGTCAATCAACACACACTTATCCCATGCCTATTTGGTGCCAGACATTCTGGCCAATCTTGGGCACACAAAGATGGACAAACCCAAGAGGGGTCTAGAGAGAAAAAGGGGATGCATGGAAGGATGAGAATAAAACCGTATAAGAAAGGCCTTAGTAATGGGCTCAAGAAGCCTAGGGAAGGGATGGTCAGGGTCAGGTCAGGCAGGGGATAGTCAGGGGAAAATGGCATTGGAGCTGAGCATTGCATGTTGAGTGTAGGTTTCTTCGGCTGAAAGACACTGAAGTCATTTCAAGGCCCCATGGCCACCTAAAACACTATTTTAAATATGTCATTTCACACCTCAGAAGACTTCACTGATTTTGCATTATCTATATTGTGAGTTTAAACATATTAGCCTGGCATTAAATCCCTCCACAAACAGCTCCAGTTGATGGGTTATGCCTTATCACATACAATATGTCTACCTCAACCATGGTTCTGGTTTTCGTGCCATTCTTTGTCTGGAGTAACTTCTTCCTACTTGGTTGATTGTAAACTGTCTTCTTCTTTCAGTGCATAAAGCTGTCTGCATGCACCTGAGTCAGAATGACCTTTCCTTCCTCCAAGCTCCTGCATCCATCCTGACGGAGCCCCTTTTACAACAGTGATGTGCTGCATTGTACTGAGGTTAGGAATGTGGAACACCTCTCCCCAGGTGAGAGGATAAACTCAGAGGCATCTGGGCTTTAGCTATAACTCATCTGGGCTTTAGCCATAACAAATTTGGTGAGCAAATAGTGACCTTATTCTTGGGGCACAGCAAGGAAAGTCACGTCTCCCATCCCTGTCACTGGAATACCTCGATCAGCCAACGTAGGGGCATCCCACCGCAGCGAACACTTATCTTCCAGTTCTTGGATCTTTCGTGGCCTCCTCTGATTTCAAATTCCCTGGGGGTGAACCAGTCTCCATCCTCACTCTGTATACACTTCACCCAAACTCCTGTAAGACCAGGGTAAGTTAATCTTTAGCCCTCTTTGTTTTCAGATGGTGGGCTCCCAACACACTGGATCTGGACCTACCCAATTTGGTCTCAAGATCTAAAACAGGAGAGTCTAGCCTCCCCTTTCAGGCTTCAGAATCCCCAAACCTAGCCTTTAAGTCCCCTCAAAGGATATTTACTGCTTTGTGGCAACATTTCTTTAACCAATGTGCAACAACAACAACAAAATGATAATTACCATCAAAATCAACCTTTTAAAAGTATGTCAAAATCACCTACGAAGGAAAAGGAAGTGATTTTGAAGAGTGAGACCATTTCAATTTGCTAGGGATAGAGAACAAGTCAGAATCTCCTATGGACTTTGGGGAACCTCGGGTTGGGACTAAGATCTCCAATGGGGGCTCTGCGGCTCAGAACGGCACCACAGCAGCATCTGTGCCCTTTATTACACTTTTCATCCAGTTTAATGGCATTATTGAGCAGAGATTTTCCCATCCCTGAAATCATGGATAGCTGATATTAAAAATAATTGTGAAATGTTATCCAATGGAAAATTTAAGTCATGTATAAAAGATAATCATATGCTTAACATCACTAGTCATTAGAGAAATGCAAGTCAAACCCACAATGAGATACCATTTCACACCCACTAAGATGGCCATCATAGAAAAGTCAGACAATAACAAGTGTTGGCAAGGAAGTAGAGAAATGGGAGCCCCCATACACTGTTGGTGGGAATATAAAACAGTACAGCCACTGTGGAAAACATTTTGGTGTTTCCTCAGTAGGTTAAACATGGAATCATCATATGAACCAGCAATTCCACTCCTAGGTATATACCCAAAAGAATTAAAAACATACGTTCACACAAAAACTTGTACATGAATGTTCAAAACAGCATTATTCATAATAGTGAAAGAGTGGAAACAATCCAAACTGATGAAAAAATAAACAAAATATGGTATATACATACCATGGAATATTATATTATTGGGCAATAAGAAGGAATGAAGTACTAATATATACTATTATATGGATGAAGCTTGAAAACATAATCTTAAGTGAGAGAGCCAGTCCCAAGAGGGCACATATTATATGATTCCATTTAAGTGAAATACCTAGAATAGGCCAATTTATGGAGCAGAAAATAAGATTACTGGAGAGAAAATAGCCCAGTTTAGGGCTGGGTGGTGGAGTGGGGTTAGGTGGGAATGGGCATTGATTGCTAATAGACATGGAGTTTCCTTTAGCAAAAAAATATTCTGACAAAAATATTCTAAAATTAGATTGTGGTGATGGCTGTACCATCTTGTGAATATACAAATAAAACTCAACATTGAGTGGTACACTCTCAGTGGTGAATTGTATCTCGGTTAAGCTGTTTAAATACTTTACCTCAATTACGTACATTAATTCCTCGCAGCTACACCATGAAGCAGGTTTTTAATGATTTCTTTTTTAGATAAAGAATTTCAGGGTCAGAAAGGTCCCATTCTCTACTCGGCTGAATCAGTCCCTCTCGGCATAGCTGAGGCTGGGACTCAGGTTGTCTGATTCTGAATTCTGTTCTATCCTTACTACATCAAGCACCTGCCCTGGTGAAAATCATCCAGAGGGAGAGAGGATATGAAGTTGGAGGCTGAGGGCCTCTTCCCTTTTACTTCTGCTTCATTTCTCTTTGGCCTCCCCATGGACACTTTCACGTGGGAGTAAGCACCTAAAATGTATGATTTCTTAAAGTGTGAAAATAGCAACTTAGGGATCCCTTCCTCCTCTCAAGCCAAACCATTGTCCCAATTCCTTCAACTATGTGTAATTCACATGGATAATTCCATTACTTCTCGTGATCCCTTCAGATAGGAATTGCAAATAGACCATAAAACCCACCTTCTTTCAATTTCTTCTTATGTAACATCCCCTTCACCTTACCACAGCTCACAGGAAGTATACGAGAGTGAAAATCCACTTTTTCATATCTGCGTTTTCTTTGCCCTGAAAGAGAAGATTCCTTCATTGTCTCATTTTCAATTGCGCACGTACTGCTTCTCCCATGCTGAGTTTGTTCCTATAAAGGTAGGGAGGAACTTGGAAAGCTTTATTCCATAAATCTCTAGGAAAAGTCTTTCTTCCAAGTGGCATTTTTGAAACATAACTACAGAATGTCTACCTCTACCTCATCCCTCAAATCTCACACAAAACAGAATGTGGTAACAGAGAAATTGGGCTTCAGTAAAACTGTCTTAGCTCCCAGTCCAGTCAGCCCCACTGATTCTTACGTGACAATGAAACATACAGCTGCATCATGTTCTGAAGGGAACCTCCAGTTATACTATTTCACTGCAGTTAGGTAGCTGGAACAAAGTGAGAGACTGTACTTGCATCTCTCTATTTGAGCGCTGGTTAGTGAGCAGAGAGAGAGAGTAATGATGGGGGAACCTAATGGAGGTGACGTCTGTCTTCTCTTTGTGTTCTCTGCTTTGCTTCACTTCTCCCTCACATCGGCTTTCTCCTTAGCTGAAAGAGGAGTTCAGGAAGCTCTAGGATAATCTGCAAGTTGCATGGTGGGGAGGGCTGCTAGAGACCTGATTCCACAGCAGCAGGGGTGAAAGGTCTTCAAACTAGCTCAAGGAGGATGTGTAACTGATGCTGACCCTCCAGCCAACGTTTTAGAGCTATGATGAGAAGAGGGGGAGCTGTCCGTGGTCCAGTTTTGAGGTAGTAGGCTAGTAGAACTGGGATGAACTGAGAAGGATGGTGTGGGCCTAATTCACTCTCTTGCTTTACAGATGAAGAAATTGAAGCAAAAGCTGTCAAGTGACAGGTCCAAGCCCACACAGTCAGAAGAAGAGAATGACAGACTTCTGACTACCATTCCAGGCCACCCATGGTGTGCAATCTCTGACTCTCTGTGCAGCAGGAAAAGGATCTGCTAAATAATATGTGGGTTGTATATGTGCCCTTTATATGAAAGCAGACTATTTCCAGACTATTTCAGTTCAGTGAAGACAGCATCACTGTGGTAGCCCCTGGACCCATTGGGTCTGGTTTAGATCTGTCACCAAGTTACTTGTTTGTGGAATTATCTTCTTTTTCTTTCATACACATTTGGAAAATGGACCAAATCATAGACGTTTTCCAACAGTTAGTAAAGCTACATAAAGCAATTAGGGAAATGGATTTATCAGTAAAAACACAGAGTAAAGCACAGGAAATTAGCTGCATAATCATTGAGAGTGTATTCCCCTTTTCTTCTTTACCTCTTGACTTAACTTTTTTCTGTGGGGCTCTGTCACTATGAGTTAAGTGGAGTCTCCCTCTGCCTCTCCTTTTCCCTGAGAAAATAGAAAAATAGAATCACAGTCACAGACATGCAGTTGCACTGTGTATATTAGTGCTTTACAGAATTTCCATTGAAATGTAACTTCCCATAAGCCTGTCTAACGCACAAAGAAAAATATATAATGCCTAGTCCTTAAGCACGAAGAATTAGATGGCAAATCTTAGACTCATCTTATATTTTACTTTTCATTGTCCCACATTAGTAAAACAAACAAATAATAGAAATCAGCATTTTATTTATGTCTCAAGCAGCCATGTGTTGAGTGCTTAATAGATGGCAATTGTACATCTACTAATGTACAATTAAAGGAAGTGAGTTAAGGGAAACCCTATGGTGGGCTTCACAGGTGAGACACATGTCCTGCACATCACCTAGAATGAAGTTATTTGTACATTTGTGTTGACAGTTTTAGTAATGTGACCAAGAGTTTTGTCCACCTGGGTTTAGACAGAGAAACTAACAAGAAGTCTAATCAAGAGAATGGGTAGAACTGAGTCCTCCAAAACCTTGATTTCAAATAGTAATTAAGGACTGACTCAGTAGATGTTGCAGCAGAGGCTGTTCTGCCATTTACAAGTTAATTGACGGTGGATATGCATCTCAGTATGTTTGCTATCATTCACATGTGTTTTATATTCTAAGGTAGGAAGATAAATTCATTTCCTGTTTTCTGTGTTCAATGCCTACCATCAAATGGCCACCATCTGATGGTGCTGAGTGGGTTAATACAGACCCCAGGAAGAAATATTTTCCAGACTACTCCTTCCTAACTGCTGCAAACTCCAAGCAGATTATGAGCATATATCAGACCAGCAAAGTAAAAAGGCTCTTTCCTTCAGTCAAACCCAAAATGGACGCATTGGTTGGAAAAATAATCCCATCTTCTGGTCTTTAGACTAAGCAGTTACTGAGAGGGTTTTCATTTCCTCAAGATCAAAATGGCCTCATGGGACAAATGTTGATGACTAGACCTTATCAGAAGATCAAACAAGTCACAACTTTGCAAGTTGTCACCCTGTTGTTATTTAACAAGATAATAGACTCTCAGACAAGAGGCCTACAGAGATTTCTAAACTTAAGAAATCTTAAGTTTAAGAAATCTTAAAACTTAAAGAAATGTCTAAACGTAAGAAAGTAGAAGACTTGGATAGTATAGCCGTGGGCTAAGGAGAACCACTAACAAGACAGAATTGCAGTTCTTAAAGAGGCAGGTTAATCTTTTGACTCCCTCTCACTTTCTCCCTCTGTAAGGTGGGTTCACTAGGCAATAGCAGGTCACCCAGCCAGGTATGGCTTTCTGAGGCTCTCCGTACCTCCTCTCTCACCCAAGATGCCAAAGTGGTGGAATACTCTAGAAGACCAGGATATTTCTGGTTCTCTTTCTCATTCCTCTCTCCTCTTCTAAAGGTCCATGCTCACAGCCCAGTGAGAAGAGATCCAGACATCTCTTCCTTGCCTCTCCCATATTCCAGTTTGGTTTGGCACTAAAGCTCTGATTACAACCTTGGACAGGCCAGCAAATGCAGAGTTCTTTCTTGCTCTCTGTCTCTATCTGTTGCTTCTGGTTATATCTTTCCTGGGTGGTAGGTATGTTGGATTTACCTTTCATCAAATCTGTTAGGCCTAATATTTGTAGGGAGAAAGAGGAAATACATTGAAGTCCATTCTAGTCTTTGGAGCTTCTAGTAAAAGGAGGTTTGGTGCTTAAAACCCACTAATTCATAATATAGCGCTATTGTATTTTACTTTCAAAACAGATTGGCTGAGCAAGGCAGGATTTAACTATTTCTGTGTCCCCAGGCTCTAGTGCCCATTTAATAACACTGAAACCCCATAACAAACCCTAATAAATACTACGGCAGTCAGATTACAATGTAAGGTTATTTTAAAAAAAATTGTTATGTTTGGTATTAACCACTAGAAGTAAATATGACAATTTTAAATTTAATACTGTTTTCTCAAAATCTTAGTAGAACTAAGTCCCAGCCGTTGAGAACAATTCACTAAGTGCCAAAAAGGGTGACCAACTGCCCCAGTCTGTTCAGGACTAAGGGGTATCCAGGATGCAGGACTTTCAGTGGCAGAACTTGGAAAGTCCTGGGCAAACCGGGTCGAGTTGGTCACCTTACTTCACAGCCTACGTCCAAAGGCAGTGCACCGAACCACCTATGCGACCGTCCAAAGTATTAGTGGAACAGGTCATGGCGGCCCTAGCTCTTCACTCATATCCAGGCTACATTTCTTTCCAAAAAAGTCAAGTTGGTGCCTCTTCCCTCACTGCGGAGTTAATGAAAGCATCTCGTGGAGGAAAGAGCTAGTGTTTGTGCACTTTCCTTATCCAGTGTCATCTCACAGCTGTCCCTGTCAAGTAAGACACTTCCACACTCTTATCTCTCCTCTCTCATCCACTTCCCCAATCCTGAATGGGCTCAAGCCAGCGGCTCTTGAGTGGGAGTAGAGACAAGAGAATGAGAGAAGATTATGCCACCTCTCCACTGCAGGTGTTCCAGACCAAGCTTGCTCAGGCGGAAGGCAGGGAGGTGCTTTGAATTGGAGAAAATACTTAAGTTTTAATACCAGGCCTGAAAGGACCCCAATAGCTGGAAAAAGACTCTTGTTCCTGTGAAAAGGGAACAGAAAAATGCTATGACCTGCCCAAGATAGGAAAAACTCACCTAGAAGTTAGATTTGAAAGGGGAATGAGAGAATGAACTTACTTTCTGTTTACAATTTATAAAAACTAGCCATTTTAATAAACCAATAATATAAGGTAAAGGAATTTTCATGAAAAACAGATAAAACTCAGAGGAAAAAAAAATTAGGTCCTGGGCAGTTAAGAGCTATGATATAAATGCAAACAATTTACAATCCTGGCTCCAAATGGGTTGCTTTCTAAAGATTTCATGGCTCTCAACTTGACTGGTAAGCTTGACTAGTAAAAAATTAACGAAGATCTGTGTTCCTCAAAACTTTAGCAAAATTTCTATTGACCCCCAGGGCAAAATAGAAGTGGCACAAACAATCTTACTCCTGATTTTGGCAGGGTCCTGCAGATGCCTTTTCACCTTCTTTCCACTCGAGGCCAGTTGGCCAGCAGCGTTGCTGTTGTCTAGGGGTAGGCAGGGGAAAAGATAGAGTTATGCAAACAGCAGCTGACATGTGAAACGAAAAGCAAGCGAGGAATTTTATGAGCGAGTATAATATAGTGGAAATAAAACATCAACTACGAGCCAGAAACCCAGGAAAATCCACTTAAACCTCTGTCCCTGTCTCTTCCTCCATAACATAGACCTACTATTGTTGTTCTATATTATCACAGAACATCAAGTGTTAAAGTTTTTTGAAAGTGCTTTATAAGCTGTGTATTACAAAGTACAATACCATAATTTATGGCTGTCTAATTGTAAAAATACATAAGAAATGTATCAATCTACCTCTGAACATGTGTTGAAAAGAGTTCAATTCAGAAGTATCAAAAAAAAAAAAAAAAAGCAAGTGAGGGAATATGGGTTTGAATTCTGAACCCCCCCCTGCACTATACACCTAGACAAGAAAGAAAGTTATGGCAAGGGATCTCAAGCAGGTGTCCAGAGCATTCTCTACTTACGAGGGACCACTTTTAAAGTACATACAAAATTTCATTATACTTTGGAAAAAAGTAGTTTAGAATTTATGTATGGACACACAGACCTAAATGAAAATGTCATAATGATTAAATACAAATATTTAGTGTTTTGAAAATAAGCATTCTTAAAATGGATGCAACCACTTTTTTCTTTCTTCCTGAACAATATTATACACGTTCACTAATAGCGCAGCCATGTAAATTGGCAAGAATGTAAGATATATAGATTAGTGAAAATTAATAAATTTTAATTGGACTCTAAAATCTTGTATAGATCTAGTGATTCAAAATCGGAAATCATGTGGAAAATGAAGTCTAGCCCTCATTGTCTAGAGAAAAGTTGTTCCTTAAACCACTACTAAAATGAACAAGATTTCAGGGGTCTGATTAGAAGTAATATATACACGTTATTGGAAACTCACAAAATAAAAATTGCATGAAACATCACCATCTGGAGATAGCCACAATTAACTTGTCAGACTTTTCTTTTGCATATTTTACTGTTTAAATGACACTTTTCCATTACAATAGTTGAACATGTTTAATATTTTGAGTATATACACATACCTTTAAAAAACACAAATAAAAATGTAAACATCACCTATATTCCAATGACCAAATTCAACTACTGCATATATTTTTATGGATGTACTGACATTGATTTTCCTATATATCTATATCTATGTCTCCCTCTATATATAGATTGATAAATATGTATAAATAAGGATTTATAGAGATATAAAAACAAATAATGCTTATATATATATTTTCTTTAACACACACATACATGCACACACATACACATACAGTCTGCTTTATTCATTTAGCCTTTAGAACATCTCTCCAAATCAATGTTTCCTGACCTAGGAAAGAAGCCACATATTGAGGATGGCAGTGTCTTGTTAGCATTTAGCTCTGGACTATTACACACGTGAGATATAAACCATTTTGTTGAAGCCACTGTATTTTTGGGCTTCTTTATTAAAGTGTCTTGGCCTATATCCTGACTGACATAGTAGCTAGGAAACTATTATTGTCCTCAAGAGACTGCAGGCTGCAAGAAGACAATAAGCAGTGCCTTATAAACTGAACAGGTGTGACTACTTCACTTTGCTGCTTACCTTTTTGAGGTATTTTTCTCTGATGTTTCATTTTTACTCTTGACCAGGAATGCCCTTTCTTTTTTTCTTAAAAAAAAACATAATAAAGTTAATTACTTAGAGCTGTAAATATAATTCTCAAAGCCTTACATATCAGTAGTTTTCAAGTATTTTTTTCAGACCTTAGTTCACAAGAATGGGGCAAATTTCTTAACTACCAGTGTAGCAGTGTGAGGTTGATTTTGAGCTATATTTTACCCTGCGTAGATTTGGAGACTATAGGAGATGACTTTCTCTTGAACAAATATCAATTTGTTCCCTTTTCAAGTGTTCTTATGTAAATTCAAATGCTCTGAAGTTGGGAGGCATTCTCAACTTTAATATGGAGAACTGCCATTAAATAATCTCTGTATTCTTGCAGTTGTAACACAAATCTTCTCACTTATGTTTAATATAGTGCCTGAAATTCCCAGAGGACTTAAGGAAACAGAGTGGATTTTGTGTTGTGTTTTGCTTTCTTGTGTGTGATATGAAGATGTGTGAATGTGCGAAGACCACTAGTGCTGGGTAAGTAGCTCAGTGCTGACTTACAAGGCAGGAAGGGCCAAAAAGCCTTGCTCTTCAAATGGAAATGCTATATTCAAGAATGCTGGATCTACCATATGATCCAGCAACCCCACTCCTGGGCATATACCTGGAAAAGATGAAGACTCTAATTCAAAAAGATACATGCACCCCAGGGTTCATAGCAGCACTGTTTACAGTAGTCAAGACATGAAAGCAACCTAAGTGTGCATCAGGAGATGAGTAGATAAAGATGTGGTATATCTATACAATGGAATATTACTCATACATGAAAAAGAACAAAATGACATTTGGCAGCAACATGGATGGACCTAGAGATTATCATATTAAGTGAAGTAAGTCAGAGACACACAGGTATCATGTGATATCACTTATATGTGGAATCTAAAAAAATGATACAAATGAACTTATTTACAACACAGAACTAGACTCACAGACATAGAAAACAAACTTATGGTTACCAGAGGGAAAAGGAGTACGGAGGGACAAACTAGGAGTATGGGATTAACAGTTACTACTATATACAAAATAGATAAACAACAAGTTATATTCACTGTATAGCACAGGGAACTATACTCAATATCTTGTAATAACCTATAATAGAAAAGAATCTGAAAAAAATATATAACTGAATCACTTTGCTGTACACCTGAAACTAATACTATATTGTAAATTAATTAATTCAATTTAAAAAGAAAAGAAAAAAAGAGAATGCAGCGACTGCCCCAGTGGCACCTTGGCTTTCTATTCTACTTCACAGCCTGAAGCAAATGTCAGCCTCACTGAGGTCTTCAATTCACCAAGATTCCCCAGAGGCCTGGGTCTGGTGCACTGATGCTTGGCTAAGCTGACAGCCAAAGTCCACTGGGCCACTGTGGCTGTTTGGCCTCAGAGCCAGCTTGGCAGAACCAAAGCCGATGTGGTCACTCCTCTGGTTGGCGGAAGTCAGATGACTGGGCTTTTGCACATAAGCTACATGCTTGGTCGTTCATGTGGAAAACTACAGACTGGCAGAGTAGGGACACTGATCTATGGGGCAGTGATTGTGGAAATGAACCGTGGTGCTGATTGACCAGTCTGGGCCCCTCATGGGAATGCCCAGGTGCCTGGTCTTTACTGACGGAGGCTGACATCATGATTCTGACGCAGGGGTTATGGCTGATCGCCAGGCTCATGACTCCTGCTAGAAGCTGGCCCATTTGTCCCACGTGGGGGGAGCCACACTGCAAGGGGCTTTGCCTCTACCTGCTCCTGCCTGACCAGGCTTCAAGATGCTCTTGGGGTTCTGGGCGGTGCCGCAACATGGTCTATACTTCTGCTTACAGACCAGCTGACTCTGGCCGTACCATCGTGACCCTAGAAAGTCACGGGTATCTTGAGCCTGGCTGCCCGGACCACTACAGTCTGACAGTGATGTGCCCTTTAACAAAAGAGCTCTTCACAATGCACTGACTATCTGGCCCACAACCCTCATCTCCTGTCCATACACCTCTGTAAGGCACCTTTGGTTACTGAAGGCAGCTGCCTCCAGAAAGGGATCAGCTCCTTCCTGGATAATGATCAGGACAAAAGCGGTGAGGGGTTAATAGTATTACACAGGCCAATTCTGAAAATACAGGATTCTGTTTGAACATTCCTGGGAATGATGCCTCATTCTTTCCCCAACCAGCCTGGAAGGCACAGCCTTTGAGGGCCTAAGGGATTCAGATTTAATTCTGGTTATTTTATGAAAGTGTCTTTGCCCCACTTGTATCTGACTATTCTGAATGAAAGGTCTGAGTGGGAATAAGAAATGATTGGGAAAGAAATATGAAGTCCCAGCCACTGGAATGTTATACACATATTTTGCAGCAGTGAAGGAAGAAGAAAACTCCAGGCATCTGAGGAGGGAATCCCATAAGCTCTAGAAGGTACAGGGGATGGAGGTACATTAATAATATCCATCTTTCAGAACTTCTCTGAATCCTTCCTCCAGAAGGAAAATGCTTGGTGCAGCTCTCCCACTACAAAGATGCGGAATCTACTATTCACCAGATACAAGAAAAGGAGCTGGTCCCAGCGTCTGCATATCCCATGCAGAGTCCCTCCAGACATCACCCCCACCCCCATGCTCAGCCATTCTATGGTGGGGGGTGAAGAATGAACACCATCTGGTTGGTGTCATGGACAAAGAGGACAGATCAGATGGACTGTCCTCAGGAAGTGTCTGCCCTCCAAATCAAGGACTAGACGCAATGAACAGAACTGGGAACTTTAAGGCTTACAGTTGGCCAGGGGCCCACCCTGGAGATACTGTCCACCTTCCCCCTGGCTGATGTATGTCCCATTAGGGGACCTCAACCACTGTAAATGTTTCCCTTCCAGGGGCACCATGTGTGCCCTTGGGATTGTACTTCTTGTGTGAAAGCCAGGCATTCACCTGCCTCTCTCATGCAAATGTGGAGAATTACACCTTAGGGGTGGTCATTAGAGACCTAAGGCATTTATGGTTTATGAAATTCATTAAATGCAGCAGGAAATAAATTGAATGGACTTTGCCCTAGCCTACATTGGTTGGATTAATCAGGGTGGCTGGTGGAATGGTATCTTCATGGGGAAATTTGCCAGAATCTGATGTGTGATGTGAATTTGTTGGGTGGGGGGGGAGGGTGGTTCTGTGGCATTTCCACATGGCTGAGAGTATCTTTTCAAGGATGTTTGAAAAGCTAACAGCTTTGGAAGCTAGAGATAGTGTCGCCTTCCAGGTCAGAGGGCAGATTTGTTTCATGACCAATATAAAATAGAGAATGTCTCCCTCCTTAGAAATATTCCAGAATAGTAAAATTTTCTTAAATTCCAGCTAATGCCTCCCTCATGGATAAGTTTTGTGCAGGTTTGCTAGTAACCCCCTTCTAAGACTGGGGGTGTTCCTCAACTTGGGCAGCTTGTGTGTGCCATATTACTAACCCCTATGTGCGTTTAAGGAGACAAAAAAACTGATGCACCTAGCCTATATCTCAGCAATTTCATTTATAGGAATTTATACAAGAGGTATAAAGGCATAGAGCCACAGAAAAGTTTCTACAAGAATGTTCATTGCAACTTTTTCATATTAGCCCAAAACTGGAAACACTTGCGGTGTCAATAAATAGAAGAAAGTATACACAAAATATGGTATAGTCCATACAATGTAACCTATTTTGTAACAAAATGGTACAAACTACTGATATATTCAACAATATGGATAAATCTCAAAAACATTATGCTGAGTGGAATAAACCTTACACCAAAAGAGAACATGCTCTAAAATCATATATAAAGTTTTATACCAAGCCAAATTAAGTTATCATGAAAAAAAATAAGAATAGTGGTTGCCACTGATGAGTGAGGGATAAGGATATACCAGAAAGGGCATAAGTGCTTCCACGATGATGGTCATGTTCTGTATCCTGATAACGATTTGGATTACATGGGAGAATACATTTATTAAAACTCATCAATGGTACACTTAGTATTTGTACATTTCATTACAAACTTTATCTTGCAAACAAGTATTGAACTCTAGTTAATGATGTACATGGCTGAAGTATTTGGGGAGAAGTATACTGACGTCTGCAACTTTGAAATGTTTCAAACTTGAAGATGGGTTAGTGGATATATAGAGAAATGGATAGATGGAAAGAAATCTGATAAAGCAAGAATAGTACAATGTTAATTGTGAAACTATGTTAAAGTATTCTGGTGTTTACTGTAAAATTCTCCCCAGTTTTCTCTAAATTTAAATTTTCCATGATTCAGTGTTGGAGAAAGAGCTTTTAGAGAGAAAGGACAGATTATTTACCAAGAAATGACAATCACAATAAAAGAGGAATTTGCATCAGTCAGTCACAAAACAGATTCTAGAAGACAATGTAGTAAACACTTTATTAATGAAAAATAAAAGTCAACCTAGAAATTTTAACCTTGGGTCTATCAAAAAAAAGACAAATTTGCACATACAACACTTGAAAAATTTACCACTTAGAGACCACTCAATAAAAGAACCAAAGGATTTAATTCAGCTAGACAAAAAGCAAAATCAAAGAAAAGAAACAATGATGAGTACATAAAATGATTTTTAAAAATTTTAATTTAAGTAAATATCAACTGCAAAAATCATAATATTAATAGTTTCAAAATTGTAATTAAAAGAAAATAAAATGTTAAACAATAGCTAAATGGTAGAGATGGATGGTCAACCTGTAGTGAATCCATGCTAAGATCCTTATCATCTTTGGGGATTGGGGCATGGTTCAAAAGATTACAGAAATTTATCTCTAATCGCCAAACCAGCAGGGAAAAAAGGTAGAATACAGAATTCTATCTCAGCCCATTTGAAAGTAGGAAAGGACACAAAAACACAGAAAAATAAAGATGAACAGTGATATAGAATCTATAAGTCCACATATATTAGGAATCAGAATAAATGTAAACAAATAAAATTTAACTATTAAAAGATGAGGATTATCAGAGAAGTTTAGAAAAAGCTAAGTGTTGTTACATGAGGCCTAAAACAAAGCTGCAAAAAAGGGCTTAATGCAAAGGGAGTCAAAACCCTCAAAAACATAAAAGTTCATGGAACACTATCAGCACCCTGAAAAAGAGATTTAAGATCAAAAGCATTAATAGGGATAAAGAGGAACACTGTATAATAATAAAAGGAAAAAAATCCACTAAGTTATACAGTCATGAATAGCCTCAAAGTATTTAAAGTAACACAACAGAGTAGTGAGGAGGCAAATACACAACCATGTGGGAGAACTTACCACATCTAAATAGAAACCTGATAGAAAGAATATAAGCTACTTTAGAAGATTTAGAAGAACCAAACAACAAAGTTGTGCTTGATAAAGACTGTTTATGGGGAGAGGCCAGATCCCAAGAAATAGTTCAATGCACACTATTTTTAAGTGGCACAGAACATTCACAAATACTGACGTAAATTAGGATGCAAAGGAACTTTCAACAAATTTTAAAGAATTGACGAGGTCAGTTTGTTAAAACTCATCCAATCATACCTTAACAGTGATGAGTGCTATTATAGAAAATTATAGCTCAATAAAGCTGACAAGGAAAGTAAAAATGTGCAAGATCTATTTAAAAAACTAAAACTTTGTTGAAGAACGTAAAATGTGATCTGAATAAATGAGTAGTTCATTCTCCATGTAAAACCCTCATTTCTACCCAAATTTATCTCCAAATTGAATGTATTTTCAAAGTTCCAGTGCAGTTGGGGAGCTATTAAGAGGAAATCTTGATTGATTCTAAAATTCATGCACAGTGAGGGAGCCAGAATTACTGAAATTCTGAAACCTCCTTTTCTCTTGCTTCTCATTATATTTTTTTACTTTTTTTCTTTGTTAAAAATAAAGTATAACAAGTAGGAATAGAAAATTTTACTTTAAAGCACTGTAATTAAACCGACTTGATAACACGGTATTGTGAAGCAATTATATTCCAATAAAGTTCTATTTAAAAAAATAAAATAAACTGACCAGCATTTCAGGGTAGAGTCAGACACAGATCTGTGAATACAGGAAAAGGCACAAGAGGGCATTAAAATCATGAAGAAAAAAATGTTGGTGTTCATAGGCACATGAAAAAATGTTCAACATCGCTAATCATCAGGGAAATGAAAATCAAAACCACAATGAGACATCACCTCACATCTGTCAGAATGACTATCATCAAAAAGAATACAAACAGCAAAATTGGAAAGAACGTAGAGAAAAGGGAACCCTCCTACCCTGTTGGTGGGAATGTAAGTTGATGCAGCCACTGTGGAAAAAAGTTTGGGGGTTTCTAAAAAAACTAAAAATAGAATTATCATATGGCCCAGCAATCCCACTCCTGGGCATATAGCCATAGAACACAAAAACACTAATTTGAAAAGATACATGTATTCCAATATTCACAGCAGCATTATTTACGCTGCCAAGATATGGAAGGAACCTAAGTGTCCATCAACAGATGAATGGAAAAAGAAGATGTGGTGTATATATATACTATGGAATACTACTCAGCCATAAAAAGAATGAATTTGCAGCAATATGGATGGATTTGGAGGGAATTATGCTAAGTGAAATAAGTCAGACAGAGAAAGGCAAATACTGTATTATATAACTTATATTTGGAACCTAAAAAAACACAACAAAGTAGTCGAATATAACAAAAAGAAGCAGACACATATATAGAGAACAAACTAGTGGTTACTAGTGGGGAGAAGGAAGAGGGGAGGGGAAATATAGGGATGGGAATTAAGAGGTACAAACTATTAGGTATAAAACAAGCTACAAGAATATATTGTACATCATGGGGAATATAGCAAATATTTTATAATAACTATGAATGGAATATAACCTTTAAAAACTGAATCACTATATTGTACACCTGTAACATATAATATTGTACATCAACTATACTTCAATTTAAAAAAAAGTGTTGGTGTTATTCCTTGTAATTACTATCTCACATCATACACAAAGAAGTGAATCCTATGTGAATAATAGCTTTAAGCATTTAAAAGCACTAAGTACTTCAAATATTCTAGAAGCAAATATAAATATTTTAAAAATCTTGAGATGGAAAATATCTTTGTACATTATAAACAAAACCTAGAAGCCATAAAGGAAAACCTTGATAGATCTTACTACATAAAATTTTCAAATTTCTCTAGAACAAAATATGCTATAAACAAGCCTAAGAGAATAACATCAAATGAGACAAAATAGTAACCACATACATAGGCAAAATTTTATATATATATATATATATATATATATATATATATATATATATATATATTCCGATGCTTCTTCAGCATGGTTAAAAAAAAAAAGATAGCAATACTGGGCAAGGCTTACACGCCAGCCATTTTTATTTATTTATTTATTTTCATCAGCCATTTTTAGAAAAAGGAACACAACCAACCAATAACAAATGAAAAGTGCTTGACCACAACAAAAATGAGAGCAATGCAAATTAAAGCAGAATGAAATGAAACTTTTTACAATTAAGTTTGGCAAAATGTTAAATGTTTATAATGTCTGTGCATGATATACTGCTTTAAACTAAGGGAAATGTAACAGTAAGAATAGATTTATGATATAATGTGTTAGTATATGATATACATGTGTTAATACATGCATAGAAAAATCTAGAAAGATATACATCAATCAAAATTTACAAAGAGCATATATTTTAAAATTTTAAAAACAACAAAATTTTTGAAAAAATATAAGTCTCACTGAGCTAAAATCAAAGAATCCAGAGAGCTCTGTTCCTTTCTGGAAGCCGTAGGGGATAATTCATTTCCCTACCTTTTCCAGCTTCTGAAGGCTGCCCACATTTCTTGGCTCATTGCTCCCTGCCTTCATCTTCAAAGCCAGCCACATTGCATCTCTCTGATCATTATTCTATAGTCACATATCCTCTCTCCATAGAAGGAAAGGTTTTCTGACTTTAAGGACCCCTGTGATTTGATGGGGGCCACCCAGATAATCTAGAAAAACCTCCACATCTCAAAACCCTTAACTTAATCACACCATCAAAGTCTCTTTTGCCAGGTGAAGCAACAGATTACAGGTTCCAGGGACTAGAAAAAGGACATCTCTGTTTCTGTTGGTATAAAGTTTTCAAGAATCTTATCAATCTCTGATGTATGTCATGGGGATCTCCTCCATTAGACAACAGTCTCTTCTACAGATCTTTCCTGTATACTCACATATCTATTTTTCACTTCTGCTGAGATGGTTGAAGGTATCTATGGGTCACAAACTTAACCTCTTCAAAGAACATTTTATATGACTGAATACCCTGAATTTTCACTACTTCTGGGGCATTAGCAAAAAGTTATACAGCCACACTCTGGGTTGTCACTGCAGAGCACATTTTCCTGACAATGACGCTCCTAATATGAGCATCTTTTGCAATCTGAATAGGCTAAGAATTTTCCAAATCATCAAGTTCTTATTCCTTTTGTTTAGCAGTTCTTCCCTTGACTTATCTCTTTCCTCTCACAGTTTACTCTAAGCAGCAACATGAAACCAGCTGCACCTTTATCATAGTACTTAGAAATCTCCTTAGCTATATATCCAGAAAATTCTGCTTTCTGCATAACTGCAGGATAGAATTTCACTGAGCTTTCTGCCACTATATAATAAGGATCCCCTTTCCTTTAATTTCCAAACACATGTTCCTTATTTCCTTCAGTGACACCTTTAAACTAACAGTGGTTTCATGACAATTTACACATTCTCTAATATGATATAGGTTTTCTCTACCATGTTCTTCACTTCCAAGTCCTCACAAGCAGAGTCTTCAGCACCACCTTTCTACTAACAAACTGCTCAAGGCAATCTAGACATTCCCTATCATTCTACTTAAAGTTCTTCTTATAACCCAATTTCCCTCTGGCCATTGCCCAATTCCAAAGCCACTTCCACATTTTCAGGAATGCATTATAGCTGCACCCCACTTCCAATGACCAAAAATTCTGTATTACTCTTTTATTGCTGCCATAACAAATGACCTCAAATTTAGTGACTTAAAACACTTTATTGTCTTACACTTGTGTCGGTTAGAAGTCTGACAAGGGTCTCTCTGGGCTAAAATCAAGGTTTCAGTAGGCCTTCATTCCTGTCTGGAGGCTATAGAGGAAAATCTATTTCTTTTACTTTCCCAGCTTCTAGGAGCCACCCATATTCCTTTTTCCTCCCCTTCATCTGCAAAGCCAGCAATATTGCATCTCTCTGTGACTATCTTCCATAATCGCTTCTCCCTCTCTTCGCAGCCAGACACACTTCTTCATTTTTTAAGGCCCATTTGATGATATTGGATGCACCACAATAATCCAGGATAATCGCCCCTTTCAAGGTCCCTGTCTTAATTATATCTGTAAAATCCCTTTTGCCATGTAAGAGAACAGATTACAGGTTCCAGAGATTAGGATATAGACATCTTTATGGGGCTGTCATATTATTAATATTTATTATTATAAATTATAATAATGAAACTGGCCTTAAAAACTCATTTTAATACCAAAAGCAAGTAAAATTGTATACACTCTTACTTCTTTTCCTCTTGGGTTTTCCCAAAGTAGAGTTGTTTCCAAGATCCACAGTATCTAGAAAAAACAGGTGGTGAGGAAACAAAAATGAATAAATAAAAGTTATAAATCTTAGGATGATTCATACTGCAAAAGGCTTGAATTTATAAAGATGTTTGGGTTATCATCTGTCTCTTCCTTCTAAAGGAACTAAACCTACTGAATTGAGAAGTGAGAGTCCAGGATGAGTCCTGGGTCTTCCTTTATTTCTTAATGGGACTTTGAAAAACGTTCTTCAATACCTATGTACTTCAGTTTACTCAGGGATATCTGTCTAGTTCTTAAGACTTAATAGGATCACTATATAAACAAGTGACATGCTGGAGAACATCTATCAAAAATATGTGCTGGGTTAAGAATAGTTGATCTGAAGTCTCTTCTCCTGACAATTAAGTGACAGGACTAGTTATCTTTTGAGAACTTTCTAAGGTTGTGACAAAATGACACTATTATATACTAGTGGACATACACTTGACTTTCTTGGGTGACAGGGATAGAAAACATTGTAAATCACAAGGCTTTATTAGTAATATACTGATGTAATAAACAATATACTGCCATTTTTAAAAGTGTATTTCTACTACATCATCCATATATAATCAACATGGGTCATCCCTTAGACACAATTTTATAATGATCTCTTGCTTCCCTGCTATTCCCAAAAGGATCAGGTCAAGCAAATGCAGAGATCAGGATACTGGGATGGATTGGATCACCTGCCACCACCCAACCTGCGTCTGTGTTACCAGTGGAGCCACCCCCATCTCACCACACTCAGGTGTCCTTACCCATCATGTCACTAGCTTCTTTACCTTCAGTACTTCCTTCTGGACCTCCTGGCACATCTTTTGAGAAACATATAACACAGGAACACTTCTCATTTCCAAATGTTGGTGGCTCTGCTCCTGGGGCAAAATTGTGAATTATGAAGAGTTTTCATTTCCCTAGTGATCCTCTTTTCTGAACCCTTGTTGATCCCACTTTTTCTACCTCTTGCTCTGAAATCTTTCATTTATCCTCCCTACACCTGACTCTTCCTTTAAGTCTCCATTTTCCCCTTTCTCATCCTTTTCTCTTTACCAGAACTTAGTTTCTGCTTTTTTTCTTAATGCATAGTTACCTTGTCCATTATAAGATGGTGGGCTAGAAGTTAGCTCCTCAGAATCTCCTTCTGTATTCATCTGAAGAGCTTCTAGTTTGCCAGATACTAAAGAGACACAGGAAAATTACCATCCACAGATCCTGAGACAGTGATTAGGGAAGAGTTCCTGGGGCTCTCATAATGCACACTAATATTCTGAACTATAATGAACTGCTTTCTAGCTCCAGTGCTGGAAACCCCATGCCAAACAACTAGCAAGACAGGAACACAACCCCACTGACTAGCAGAGGGGCTGCCTAAAATCTTACTAAGTTCACAGACATCCCAAAACACACCACCAGACACGGCTCTGCCCACCAGAAAGACAAGATGCAGCCCCACCCACTAGAACACAGGCACAAGTCCCCTCCACCAGGAAGCCTACACAGACCCCTGAACCAACCTTACCCACTGGGGACGGACACCAAAAACAATGGGAACTACGAACCTGCAGCCTGCGAAAAGGAGACCCCAAGCACAGTAAGTTAAACAAAATGAGAAGACAGAGAAACACACAGCAGATGAAGGAGCAAGGTGAAAACCCACCAGACCAAAAAAATGAAGAGGAAATAGGCAATCTACCTGAAAAAGAATTCATAGTAATGAATGATCCAAAATCTTGGAACTAAAGATGATCCAAAATCTTGGAAAAGATGATCCAAAACCTTGGAAATAGAATGGAGGAAATACAAGATACACTTAACAAGGACCAAGAAGAACTAAAGAGCAAACAAACAATGATGAACAACAAAATAAATGAAATTTAAAATTCTCTAGAAGCAATCAATAGAATAACTGAGGCAGAAGAATGGATAAGTGACCTGGAAGATAAAACAGTGGAAATAACTACCACAGAGCGGAAAAAAGACAAAAGAATGAAAAGAACTGAGGACAGTCTCAGAGACCTCTGGGACAACGTTAAACCTGCCAACATTCGAATTATAGGGGTCTCAGAAGAAGAAGAGAAAAAGAAAGGGACTGAGAAAGTATTTGAAGAGATTATAGTTGAAAACTTCCCTAACATGGGAAAGGAAAGAGTCAATCAAGTCCAGGAAGCACAGAGAGTCCCATACAGCATAAATCCAAGGAGAAACATGCCAAGACACATATTAATCAAACAATCAAAAATTAAATACAAAGAAAAAATATTTAAAGCAGAAAGGGAAAAACAACAAATAACATACAAGGGAATCCCCATAAGGTTGACAGCTGATCTTTCAGCAGAAACTCTGCAAGCCAGAAGGGAGTGGCAGGACATATTTAAAGTGATGAAGGAGAAAAACCTACAACCAAGATTACTCTACTCAGCAAGGGTCTCATTCAGATTCAATGGAGAAATTAAAACCTTTACAGACAAGCAAAAGCTAAGAGAATTCAGCACCACCAAACCAGCTTTACAACAAATGCTAAAGGAACTTCTCTAGGCAGGAAACACAAGAGAAGGAAAAGACCTACAAAAACAAACCCAAAACAATGAAGAAAATGGTAATAGGAACATACATATCGATAATTACCTTAAATGTAAATGGATTAAATGCTCCAACCAAAAGACATAGACTGGCTGAATGGATACAAAAACAAGACCCATATATATGCTGTCTACAAGAGGCCCACTTCAGACCTAGGGACCCATACAGACTGAAAGTGAGGGGATGGAAAAAGATATTCCATGCAAATGGAAATCAAAAGAAAGCTGGTGTAGCAATTCTCATATCAGACAAAATAGACTTTAAGATAAAGACTATTACAAGAGACAAAGAAGGACACTATATAATGATCAAGGGATCAATCCAAGAAGAAGATATAACAATTGTAAATATTTACACACCCAACATAGGAGCACTGCAATAGATAAGGAAAATGCTAACAGCCATAAAAGGGGAAATCAACAGTAACACAATAATAGCAGGGGACTTTAACAGCCCACTTTCACCAATGGACAGATCATCCAAAGTGAAAATAAATAAGGAAACACAAGCTTTACATGACACATTAAACAAGATGGACTTAATTGATATTTATAGGAAATTTCATCCAAAAACAACAGAATACACTTACTTCTCAAGTGCTCGTGGGACATTCGCCAGGATAGATCATATCCTGGGACACAAGTCAAGCCTTGGTAAATTTTAGAAAATTGAAATCGTATCAAGTATCTTTTATGACCACAGCGCTATGAGACTAGATATCAATTACAGGAAAAAAACTGTAAAAAAACCAGACACATGGAGGCTAAACAATATACTACTAAATGACCAAGAGATCACTGAAGAAATCAAAGAGGAAATCGAAAAATACCTAGAAACAAATGACAATGAAAACACGATGATCCAAAACCTATGGGATGCAGCAAAAGCACTTCTAAGAGGGAAGTTTATAGCAGTACTATCCTACCCCAAGAAATAAGGAAAATCTCAAATAAACAACCTAACCATACACCTAAAGCAATTAGAGAAAGAAGAACAAAAAAACACCCAAAGTTAGCAGAAGGAAAGAAATCATAAAAATCAGATCAGAAATAAATGAAAAAGAAATGAAGGAAACAATAGCAAAGATCAATAAAACTAAAAGATGGCTCTTTGAGAAGATAAACACAATTGATAAACCATTAGCCAGACTCATCTAGAAAAAAAGGGAGAAGACTCAAATCAACAGAATTAGAAATGAAAAAGGAGAAGTAACAACTGACACTGCAGAAATACAAAGGATCATGAGAGATTACTACAAGCAACTATATGCCAATAAAATGGAAAACCTGGAAGAAATGGACAAATTTTTAGAAAAGCACTACCTTCTGAGACTGAACAAGGAAGAAATAGAAAATATAAACAGACGAATCACAAGTACTGAAATTGAAATTGTGATTAAAAATCTTCCAACAAACAAAAGCCCAGGACCAGATGGCTTCACAGGCAAGTTCTATCAAACATTTAGAGAAGAGCTAACACCCATCCTTCTCAAACTCTCCCAAAATATAGCAGAGGGAGGAATACTCCCAAACTCATTGCACGAGGCCACCACCACCCTGATACCAAAACCAGACAAAGATGTCACAAGGATAGAAAACTAGAGGCCAATATTACTGATGAACATAGATGCAAAAATCCTCAACAAAATACTAGCAAACAGAATCCAACAGCATATTAAAAGGATTATACATCATGATCAAGTGGGGTTTATCCCAGGAATGCAAGGATTCTTCAATATATGCAAATCAATCAATGTGATACACCATATTAACAAATTGAAGGATAAAAACCACATGATAATCTTAATAGATGCAGAAAAAGCTTTTGAAAAAATTCAACATCCATTTATGATAAAAAACTGACCAGAAAGTAGGCATAGAGGGAACTTACCTCAACATAATAAAGGCCATATATGACAAACCCACAGCCAACATCGTTCTCAATGGTGAAAAACTGAAGCCATCTCCTCTAAGATCAGGAACAAGACAAGGGTGCCCACTATCACCATTACTATTCAACATAGTTTTGGAAGTTTTAGCCACAGTAATCACAGAAGAAAAAGAAATAAAAGGAATCTAAATCGGAAAAGAAGAAGTAAAACTCTCACTGTTTGCAGATGACATGATACTATACATAGAGAATCCTAAAGATGCTATCAGAAAACTACTAGAGCTAATCAATGTATTTGGTAAAGTTGTAGGATACAAAATTAATGCACAGAAATCTCTTGCATTCCTATACGCTAATGATGAAAAACCTGAAAGAGAAATTGAGGAAACACTCCCATTTACCACTGTGACAAAAAGAAGAAAATACATAGGAATAAATCTACCTAAGGAGACGAAAGACCTGTATGCAGAAAACTATAAGACACTGATGAAAGAAATTAAAGATGATACAAATAGATAGAGAGGTATACCACGTTCTTGGATTGAAAGAATCAATATTGTGAAAATGACAATACAACCCAAAGCAATCTACAGATTCAATGCAATCCCTATCAAAGTACCAATGGCATTTTTCACAGAACTAGAACAAAAAATTTCACAATTTGTATGGAAACACAAAAGACCTCGAATAGGCAATCTTGAGAAAGAAAAACGAGCTGGAGGAATCAGGCTCCCTGACTTCAGACTATACTACAAAGCCACAATAATCAAGACAGTATGGTACTGGCACAAAAACAGAAATCCAGATCAATGGAACAGGATAGAAAGCCCAGAGATAAACCCATGCACATATGGTCACCTTATTTTTGATAAAGGAGGCAAGAATATACAATGGAGAGAAGACAGCCTCTTCAATAAGTGGTGCTGGGAAAACTGGACAGCTACATGTAAAAGAATGAAATTAGAACACTTCCTAATACCATATACAAAAATAAACTCAAAATGGATTAAAGACCTAAATGTAAGGCCAGACGCTATAAAACCTTTAGAGGAAAACATAGGAAGAACACTCTTTGACATAAATCACAGGGTGATCCTTTTTGACCCACCTCCTAGAGAAATGGAAATAAAGACAAAAATAAATACATGGGACCTAATGAAACTCACAAGGAAACTACAAATAAGAAGAAAGACAGCCCTCAGAATAGGAGAAATTATTTGCAAATGAAGCAAATGACAAAGGATTTATCTCCAAAGTATACAAGCAGTTCATGCAGCTCAGTATTAAAAAAACAAACAACCCAATCCAAAAATGGGCAGAAGAACTAAATAGATATTTCTCCAAAGAAGATATACGGATTGCCAACAAACACATGAAAGGATGCTCAACATCACTAATCATTAGAGAAATGCAAATCAAAACCACAATGAGGTATCACCTCACACTGGTGAGAATGGCCATAATTTTAAAAATCTACAAACAATAAACACTGGAGAGAGTGTGGAGAAAAGGGAACCCTCTTGCACTGTTGGTGGGAATGTAAATTGATACAGCTACTATGGAGGTTTCTAACAAAACTAAAAATAGAACTACCATACGACCCAGAAATTCTACTACTGGGCATATACCCTGAGAAAACCATAATTCAAAAAGAGACATGTACCACAATGTTCATTTCAGCACTATTTACAATAGCCAGGACATGGAAGCAACGTAAGTGTCCATTGACAGATGAATGGATAAAGAAGTTGTGGCACGTATATACAGTGGAATATTAGCTATAAAAAGAAACAAAATTGAGTTATTTGTAGTGAGGTGGATGGACCTAGAGACTGTCACACAGAATGAAGTAAGTAAGAAAGAGAAAAACAAATACCGTATGCTAACACATATATATGGAATCTAAAAAAAAAAAAAAAATGGTTCTGATGAACCTAGCGGCAGGACAGTAATAAAGATGCAGACGCAGAGAATGGACTTGAGGACACAGGGAGGAGGACAGGTAATATGAGACAAAGTGATAGAGTTTCATTGACATATATACACTACCAAATGTAAAATAGATAGGTAGTGGGAAGCAGCCACATAGCATAGGGAGATCAGCTCGGTGCTCTTTGACCACCTAGAGGAGTGGGATAGGGAGGGTGGGAGAGAGATGCAAGAGGGATGGTATATGGGGATATATGTATACATATAGCTGATTCACTTTGTTATACAGCAGAAACTAACACAACATTGTAAAGCAATTATACTCCAATAAAGATGTAAAAAAGAAAAGAAAAGAAAAGAAAAACCAAAAAGAAAAAAAAACAATGAACTGCCTTCTGGGAAAAAGAATATCTGCTCCAATAATCACACCTGAGATCCGACAGAGCCATGTTTTTCCCATCTTTTGAACCTCATTCTGCTTTCTCTACTTTCATTTTTCTACTTTTATCCCTAAGAATAAAATAAAAAGATCTTATCCTTCTAGGAAAAACTGACTGTCCTTTGAAAGTTGCAAAATGTAATTGACAGAACCAGTTTTAAATTCATCCCAATTGGCCAATGACTGCTTGCATCACTAACCACATCTAAAGTCAGCTAATCAGTTGCAGCCTTACACTTATGAAAATCAGCCAGATACACTTCAGAAAGCCTATGTGTATGGCTAAATGCTAACCGATTTATAAACACTCCTGTTTCTGAAAGTCTGCAGTCCCTGAACTACATGCGTCCCAAAAGTGTAAGTAAAAACACAACATTGTAAATCAACTATACTCCAATAAAAATTAATTAAAAATAAGTAAAATCAGCAGTTTCCTTTATTAAAAAAAACTGTGTACAGTGCTTCCTCCCACCATGTGTCTTGCTTAGCAAGCTACAAATCCAGCTTTAGCTTCAAATATTGCACGGTGGCCACTCTTCCTTCACAAATGGTGTTCCCACCAAGATCGTCTTGAGGACTCTTGCTTAGGGGTGTCTTGTGGGACCCTTGGACCAACAGATGTTGGTCCAAAACCCCAGCTTCTTGTGCACAACTCAGATTGTCTTCCTGATCCACTGCCAAGTGAATCCATCTCAAGAACAACTTGAGCTCTGACTTGTTTCATTGAAGTTTTATTTCTGAATTTATTTTATTATTTAAAGATGTGTATGCAATTACATACAAAGTAAGCAGACATTTTGGTTTGGCGGGACAGCATTTAGCAAATGTTCTATTAATGTGCTTATTCTTCCACTACTCCATTTATTCTCACTTTTCTTTTGTCTATTTTTTTAAAAGTCTTGTCTCGTGTGTTTGTCTGTTCCTGATTTTCCTGTGCTTCTTCATTATTAGAAGATGGTGATCCAAATAGATAGAGGCATAGATTTGATAAATCCCCAATCCAAGCTAGCCCCAAAGACTAATTAATGGATGGGGGTCCATTAGAAAGTCGATAATTTGTGCAAATATAGTTTGTCACATTTTGTCTTGGGTCCCTCACCAAAACTTTCATGAGGATACTTGACATCATATTAATTTTTGAAAGAAAATCCTTTTGTTCAGTACATAACTGTTATCATGTAATTGATCATATGTCTTCTTTTTAGTTTCTGCTTGATTGATGAGCACAATACTCCATTTTCAGGACACCATTCATACTTAGGACTCTATGTCATGGGCTTGTCTTTGCCAAAGTCACAATCTCCCACTGGCAGAACTTTCACTTCCTCTCTGTACTCTCAGTGTGATTCTAACTTTCATTTAATAAATGGTAAATTTTCACAAAAGATGTCTTTAGATTTCAGTGGGGAACTTTTGGAATGTCAAAAGTAAATGACTCATTTGATAATATTTCTCTAAAAGGACTGAAAAAAATGACCAAGAGTAGTTCCCTGTGCCAACCAATAACTGCTATATTCAGACCATTATGTAACAAACTGTCCTTTCTTTTCTCCAAGAAACTCCTAAAAATTTAATAGGTAAGGCTCTATTCTGCAAATGAAACTACATATTAAGTGTACTAAGAAGGGCTAACCTTAGAATTCCTGGAAAATTCTCCTACACATGATCACTTTATAGTTAATCTGAACATCAGTATGCCTATACTATGCATATTCAAGATATGCAGGAAATAAACAAAATAGGTATACCTCACTTCCCTGTAGTGCCTAAGCCAATTACTATAGTCTTTTCTAAAGTCAAATTCTTTTCTTTAACACACTTACGCTCAGCTTTCTTTGGTGCTGTAATTTGTTTGGTAGCCTATATTATTTGCTTGGGAAAATCAATGTCTCATCTGGATAGTTATTTTCTGGAGATTTACTCAAGCTTCATTGTCATAGGTAGAATTCTAAAATGACCTCCCAAGATTTGTTCCTAAACCCCAGGGACCGTGAATATCATAAGACATTACCCCCATTTTTAGGTTACGTTGTATGGCAGAGTTGATGTTTAAGAAAAGGAGATTGTCAACGCAAGCAATAACAAATGTTGGTGAGAATGCGGAGCAAAGGGAACCCTTGAGCACTGTTGGTGGGATGTAAATTGGTGCAGCCACTGTGGAAAACAGCATGGAGTTTCCTCAAAAAACTAAAAATAGAACTACCTTATGTTCCAGCAATTCCACTCCTGGATATGTAATCCAAAGGAAACAAAATCTGCACCCTAATGTTCACTGCAGCATTATTTAAACAATAGCCAAAGACATGGGAACAACCTAAGTGTTCATCAATAGATAAATAGATAAAGAAAATGTCGTGTGTGTGTGTGTGTGTGTGTGTGTGTGTGTGTGTGTGTTATAGAGTAATATTCTTACTCAAGGAAGGAGAATCCTAGGATTTAGTTTCTAATGTCCACTTCCAGAAGAGATAGTTTAGATACTTCCTTACTAAATCCTGACTTAATATTGTTTGGTGATAAGTTTTATCTCTAAAATAAAAATAAAATTAAATGAGACAAAAGAAAATAAAGTAAAATGAAATACCAGGCTGGTTATGCAATGACTGTTCCAGACTCCCTTGCAGAGTTCATTCCCTTACAGAAAGCAAAATTGTCTCAAGTAACTGAACATAGAGCCTTCTCTAGGACATGTCAAATTGTTAAACTGAAAGCCATTATGCATTTGGAGTAGATCATAACTTCTGAATGCTGTGGAAACAAACAGATTTTCAATCTCTTCAGGTGCCCATATAAAAACAAATATCAAGTGGATTATTTAATGTCTTTTTACTACCCAAAGATCCCCAGAACATGCAGATAATTCCATGAAGTAGAACTGCTTCCACTCAAGATCAATCAGAATAAAGTTTTCCTGGATGCCTAGATTGTCACACTGATTGTCACATTCTCCTTCATATTTTTATCCTTTATCCTTACAACTTTAGTTTTTCTATTTACTGGTTTAGTGTCTGAAGCCTCTGACTTCCCTATAATGTTACTACTAATAATAACATTCCAAGACTGACTTCACTTAGGACGATCACCACCCTAACTTTATAATTCAGTTCTTCTAAAATATTTCTAGTAGAGCCAATTTGAAGAATTTTTGTATATGTCATCGTCCCAAGTCAACTCCTGGAAAAAAATAATGGCTTTACTTGTAATTATGCTTCTAAAATAAATTTTAATTGAGGATAAATTGCATTAAGAAATATCAGGCTGACAGCTACTGATGGGCATTCAGGGCAAGGATGCTACAAATTATTTATATAAAGACCATGACTCCACCTAATCATCAAAATCAGCTTAAACCCAACTGTACTTCATCTTTGAGTGTTGTCCATGGAATAAGAAACAACTAAAACCCCCAAAGAACCTCAAACATTTGAAGTCATGAGTTATTCCTATAATAAGATCAAAAGTTCAAACACTTGGGCAAAGAAACAGTTTATGATGATTTAAAGTATATTACACCAACTTAACCAATAAATCAACTCTCTGTAGATAATACACAAATGAAAGATTATGTTTCTATGCTGGAAGAGGTGAATATAAATATTCTTGGGAGATAATAAATAGCTAGAGAATAATGTACTAACAGTTCCACTAAAGTTAATCAAATTTTTGTACAACTTCTGTGTTCTTTCTCCTATGTGGAATTCTATCTACTACAACTGAATATATGGATACCTACAATCAAACAACATGATCTCCTAATTATGGAGCTGCTTAAGGTTTCTTGTCCCTTGCAAGGTACAAGGGCCAAAGAGCCAAGGTAAATGTGAAGAATGATATTTGAGAATTAACTGGAGCTTTATTGTGGAGTATTCCTAGAGTAAAATGCATCAGGAAACACCATCCTCCTGACACCCTGCAGCCCAGACAGTCCTTATCTCTCTCACCTGCTCCACTTTTTGGTAGTGAGCTCAAGGACTCCTGGGGTTCTTCTTCATCACACACTTCTGAACAGGTACTGCTTCCTTCTGATAAATAGAATGAAATCTCTTGGAACCCCAGTGTATGACCAATGGAAACCGTAGTAGGAAAACCCTCCCAGAGACAACCAGGAAGACCAGAGCGGCTCAAGTATCTCCAAGATGGGAATGTCCTTGTCCTTAGACCCTCCTGCCTTTGAGCTCACCTGACCTAGAGGTTAACATGGCTCCCGTCATTATCATCAGAGGCTGAAAACAGTCTACCCATCTCACTCCCTTCTTATACACTAATTTTCTCTGTCTTTTTCATCCTTTCCAGTTGGCTCTACATATTTCTTCTGTATGGGTATGTGAAGGGGAGCAGGGTAGGAAGAGAGAAGAAAGATGGAGATTTTCCTCTCTGCAGACAGAAAACAAAGATTCAATTTGGGAGTTGAAATCACAATTACCTTCTCCATCACATAGTGGTTGACTAGGCAGCTTCTCTGGTTCTTCTTTGTTGGTCATTTGGGAAGCTTCAGGATCACAGGACACTAAAGAGAAACAAGAAAATGAGCTGAGCCAGGATGCTCAGACCACAAGTGAGACGAGGAAGAAGAAATTGGCAAGGGTCGCATGATGAATGGAAGGCACAGAAAGACAGGAAGGATAACTGATCTAATCTTTGGACAACAAAGGTCACCAGGTTTAAGTGGGAAAGTAATATGATCTGATTTCCATCTTGCAAATAAAAATTGTGCTAAAGTGGAGAAAATGGGCAAGATGGGAGCAAGAGAAAATGGGACATTCAAGTTCCATTTACTGAGAGAGCAAACCCTGTAAGAAAAGGACATTCCAGTTTCATGGAAGAAGATGTTGGTTTCAATTTTGGAAGTGTCAGTTCCTGAAAGACATCCAAATGGAGAGGGCCCTGGGATAAATGTCTTCAGGTAAATACATAGATGGATGACCTTGGAAGATGGGTCTGCCTAGCAGGCATGTGCTTGAGACACATTCTGTTACCTGAGAGTAGCTGAGGCTGCCAGGGAGGGAATTATTACTCTATGTTATGGACACCACTCTCTCAATGGGGCAAACCTAACTTGGAAACTCACTACTGGGATGGAAGATGCTCCTGTCTGATATGCATACTTCAGCATTCCAGGATCCTAACTTCTCTCCTCTCTTCCCTGTACAGCTGTTTTCACTCTTTATTGATCTGATAAAACTCTTTCTCGACATAGTTTCTCTGCACTTCCTTGCACATTGTTTTTTGGTATTTATTTGCCTCTCTATATAGTTTCTCTAATTTTTATCTTTGTATTTCATTTCTTATTGAGGTAATTTCCTTTCTACCTTGTCTTCCATTTTCTCCTTTTCTCTTTTTCTCTGGGTCTTCTCTTTCTAGATGCCTGTAAAATTTCCTTATTTTATATATTTTCCTCATGCTCACAGATCCCTTCTCTCAAACTGACAAAAGTCCTTCCATTTTCACATGGACCACAGTGCTGGAGAGCCTTCCCTTATTAGCTCTATTCTAAGTCTCCCACATGACCTTTCTAAATTGCAAGCTTATCAGTCATTCACAAAACGTACTTCCTTGTTCCTTGTACTTCCGAAGTAAGCTGAAAATGATCTCCTTGCCTCAACTGCCATAACCTGTTGACATTTGGATTTTATATGCATTTAATAAAGTCACCCAGGTACTTCTGCTTTGGGACCCCAGCCTACCTTTGGCACATCCTGTTTCCCTATGTTCTCCATGCAGGGGTGCTCTCCCCACTCAGCTCAGCTCACCTTTCTCCTTAGTCTCTCTCACAGTTTTGGAAAAAACAAAACAGAAAATCGACACAATTCCATGTGTATGTATGTGAATATGAAGAAGAGAATGGCAAGATGAGAGAAGGGGGGATTTTTTTTCCTATTTATTGAGGAGTTTAAATCATAATTACCTTCTCCCTCTACTGGTAGTAGGCAGAGCACTTCCTTGGGTTCTCCTTCGTGAGTCATTTGGGGAGTTTTGGGATAACAGGTCACTGCAGACAAGACAAGATGGACCATGGAGGGCGATCAGAAACAGATCTCGATTGGCTCATGCCAAACATGATGGAAAAACCATATGTCTGCTCCAAGCACTGCTTCTGAGAGCCACACCATCTCCTTCTGCTTCTTTGCCATCTGCACCTCTTCTCTCTCCTTCTCAGCATCCTACCCACAGTTCACCTCCACACAGCTCTGTTTCCTAGCTGTGCATCTCTTTGATTGTCTGTGTTTCTCTCCTCATCTCTTGTCTTCAGGTCTTGGGGTTTGTTTGTTTTTCAGTCATAGTGTATCCCTTTTCTCCTGTTATCCTTTCTAGTTTTCTTATTCTAGATCTCTTCAAGCCTAAGTGGTTGGGTCCACTTCTATACTTCCTGTCTCTCAGTGGTTTCCTTTCCCTCCCCACCAACATTAATTTTTCCTTAACTAAATCTTCTCTTGGACCCTGGTTCTCTCCCCTGGGAACCTGCAGAACTCCTTGGGTTTCCTCTTCCTTTTCTGACCACATGACCCCACGCTGACTGTCAGCTGGCTTCACACAACTGTCACCCTCAGTGACACACCCAGGATGCTGGTGCCCACTCTTCCTTTTCTACCTTGCCCTTGCAAAAATAACCTCCATGCCCTTCTGTTTCATTTCCCCAACCATAAAATAGAAGTTACAACAGTTTGCATACCTGTGTCTTAGGGTTTCATGAAGGTAAGAGGGGGCTTGCACAATCCAATAATCTGATGGAGACTGCACACATTGTCTCCCAACCCAGTTCTCTTTCTCATTCTCACCCTTTCCACACATCTCTGCTTCTTCTATTTCTATCTCGGTATCTTGCTATTGGAATCTCTTGGTACTTCTTTGTCCTGATTTGTTTCTTTTCCCATGTCTGTTCCCACCTGCCTTTTCTCCCTCTTCCTTTTCTGATGCTGAGCTTTCTGTCTTCTCCCCGTCTCTCATGCTGTTTTTTTCTAGAACTAGGAATTAGAAAAGGTATCTCTGAGGTGGTCTATAACTTCCATGTGATTTCATCAGATTAGTGAGCAGAATGGAGAGTGGAGTGGACCAAGAAAATTGTTCCAAGCACAGGGCTAAGTGTGTGCAAAGGCTCAGATGAGAAAAAGTAATCAAAATTAAAATCACTGCAAAGTTTTAAACAAACTTTAGAAGTCGTTGCAGGAGAGGCAGACATGAGGCTGGAGCCATGGGAAGGAAAATAGGGAAGGATTTCAACCTTTTGACAACAAAAAGTTATCGATTTAAGGTAGGAAAGTGAGATAAGCCAACCTGCATTTTCAAAGGGTCATCTAGTTGAGTTGGAGAGAATGGATATGGTGGGAGGATGACTGGGGGAAGGTATGAGATCATATAGAGTCTGTTGCCCTGGCTCTAGTTCCAGAGAGAAGAGACATCTGACTAGGGCTTCCGTGTCAGGTGTGGCAACAAATGGATTAGTAAGAGACAAGTTAAAGGTATAGTTAAGTAAACTGGGTGATTGATGGGGTGTGTGAGTTGAGGGAGGGAAAAGAGTCATTGGTGACCCCTAGGTGTCTACCTAAAGAATGTAACAATAGCGTTCCATACTGAGATAGGGAACACGGGGAAAGAGGCAGATCTGGCATCAAGAAAGATGGTACATGCAACTATGGAAGTGACTTGTATTGAAGTTCCCGAAAACCATCCAAATGGAGATGTCTCTCAGATCCCTGTACAAATATAGTCAGGCACTTAGATGAATGAGCTTACAAGGCAAGTTGGGGCCAGAGTTAGGAATTTGGGGATCATTAAGTTATAGATAGAGTATACAAGAATGGCTGAGGGGAGGCCCATTGCCTCTGAGTGTATTACAGGTGCCACTTTGATAATTGGAGGAACCATAATCTGAAAACTCATGGCTAACATGTTCAACTCCTAGCGTTAGAAGTTGCTTCCATGCAGCAACTCTTCTTTCAGTCCCTACAATGTCCCAAACCATCTTCTCCATCCTTGTACATGGTGTTCCCTCTCTACAGATGTTTTACTCTTCTCCTTTATCTTTTTCTCTATGTATAACTGTTATACTTTCCTCCAGTCTTTCTATTTCTTAGCACTTTCCCTTTCTGGGTCTTTCTCTAATGTCACATTCTCTACCTTTTAAACTCTGTACCTTGTTTGATTATTGAGTTGAGCTCCTTTCTTCTATGGTGCTCATTTCCCTGCTTCTATCTGTTCTCTTTAGTTCTTAACTTCCTGTTTGTAATGTTTCAACTTAAAATTTAAATCTAAAAATTAAAATTTCAGCCTTTCTGTATATTTTTTCCATCTCACATATTCCTTCCGCAAATCATCAAAGTTCTCATCTTTTGCCACTGACAAACGAGTAGGGATCCTTCCTTCCCCTTGGCAGGCTCATTTCAAATGTCTTTGACATGAGTTTTCTATTTTGCGATTATACCCACTATGCCCATGTTCCTGACACAACCTCGAGGAAAGCAGGTTGAAAATTATCTCCCCTCCCTGACACCACATTCTAACCTGGTTCTATTTCGATTCCACGTCTATTTATTTTTTTAAATTTTTATTAGAGTATAGTTGATTTACAATGTTGTATTAGTTTCTGCTGTACAGCACAGTGAATCAGTTATTCATATACATATATCCACTCTTTTAGATTCTTTTCCCATATAGGTCATTACAGAGTATTAAGTAGAGTTCCCTGTGCTACACAGTAGGTCATCGTTAGTTCTCTATTTTATTATATTTTTAATTTTTTAAATTAATTTTTAATATCTTTATTGGAGTATAATTACTTGACAATGGTGTGTTAGTTTCTGCTGTATAACAAAGTGAATCAGCTATACATATACATATATCCCCATATCTCCTCCCTCTTGTGTCTTCCACCCACCCTCCCTATCTCACCCCTTTAAATTAATTTTTATTGGAGTATAGTTGAGGTATAATGTTGTGTTAGTTTCTGCTGTACAGCAAAGTGAATCAGTTATATATATATATATATACCCACTCTTTTTTAGACTCTTTTTCCATATAGGTCATTACAGAGTGCTGAGTAGGGTTCCCTGTGCTACACAGTAGGTTCTTATTAGTTATTTATTTAATATATAGTAGTGAGTATATGTCAATCCCAATCTCCTAAATCAGCAGTTCCCAACCTTTTTGGCACCAGGGACCAGTTTTGTGGAAGACAATTTTTCCACGGACGTGGTGTGGGGGGTGGGGGATGGTTTAGGCGGTGATACAAGTGATGGGGAGCTGCAGATGAAGCTTCACTGGCTCGCCCACTGCTCACCTCCTGCTGTGCGACCCAGTTCCTAACAGGCCATGGACCGGTACTGGTCTGCATCCCAGGGGTTGGGGACTCCTGTCCCAAATTATCCTTACCCCCACTTTCCCCCTTGGTAACCATCAGTTTGTTTTCTACATCTGTGACTCTGTTTTATAAATAAGTTCATTTGTACCATTTTTTTGGATCCCACATATAAATGATATCATATGATATTTGTCTTTCTCTGTCGGACTTACTTCACTCAGTATGACAATCTCTAGGTCCATCTATGTTGCTGCAAATGGCATTATTTCGTTCTTTTTATGGTTGAGTAATATTCCATTGTATATATGTACCATCTTCTTTATCCATTCATCTATCAATGGACATTTAGGTTGCTTCCATGTCCTGGCTATTGTAAACAGTGCTGCAATGAACACTGTAGTTCATGTATCTCTTCGAATTATGGTTTTCTCCAGATATATGCCCAGGAGTGGGATTGCTGGATCATATGGTAGCTCTAGTTTTAGTTCTTTTAAGGAAACTCCATACTGTTCTCCAAAGTGGCTGTACCAATTTACATTCCCACCAACAGTGTAGGAGGGTCCCCTTCTCTCCACACCCTCTCCAGTATTTATTGTTTGTAGGCTTTTTGATGATGGCCATTCTAACCGGTGTGGGGTGATACCTCATTGTAGTTTTGATTTGCATTTCTCTAATAATGAGTGATGTTGAACATCTCTTCATGTGCTTTTTGGTCATCTGTATGTCTTCTTTAGATCTTGGAGAAATGTCTATTTAGATCTTCTGCCCATTTTTTGATTGGGTTGTTCGTTTTTTTGATATTGAGCTGCATGAGCTGTTTGTATATTTTGGAGATTAATCCCTTGTCAGTTACTTGGTTGCAAATATTTTCTCCCATTCTGAGGACTGACTTTTTGTTTTATGGTTTCCTTTGCTGTGCAAAAGCTTTTAAGTTTAATTAGGTCCCATTTGTTTATTTTTGTTTTTATTTTCATTTCTCTAGGAGGTGGGTCAAAAAGGATCTTGCTGTGATGTATGTCATAGAGTGTTCTGCCTAAGTTTTACTCTAAGAGTTTTATAGTATCTGGCCTTACATTAGGTCTTTAATCCATCCTTGTTTTTTCTTTTAACTCACTTCCTGTTTTTCTCTCCTATACATAGTATTTCATTAAACCTATGCAACCCTGGGATATAAGTTTAAAATGATCTCTCTCCTCCAAACCCCAATCTGGTTGTATATGGATTCCATATACTTTTAAATAAAATGGAAACTACTTAGGCAACTGCATGTGGTGGCCCCAATCTACATTTTTTTTATTCTGTGCCCTTAAATTCTCTACCCAGAAGCTCCTCCATTAAGGTCCTTAGCCCCTCTTTCCCCCTTGCCTCCCATATACCTGAAGAAAGCAACCAGAGCCTAAGGAAAAGTGTGTGTTTGTGTTTGGGGGAATGAAGGGAAATGTCCCTTGCATACAGACATGCAAACAAATTAATGAGATAATTGGTCACTTAAATCAATATTAGCTCCCCCGTTACCTGCTTGCAGTTTGGGAATCTCTTCAGAATTGCCTTCGTTTGTCCCTTGAAGAGCTTTGGGCTCACAGGAAACTAAAGAAAAACAGAAAAGACCAACCAGACATGGTGATGAGGTACAGACCTCAGGGTGCTCATGCTGAATTCTGGTGTTCAATGGTCAGGTGAACTTCTCCTTGGGAAAAAGATACTGTTGCTCCACACACCTCACTTTAGACCCACCAGAGCCTTGCTCTGCCTTTTTTCCTTCCCGTTATCCCTCAATCACCTTTCTCCTCATTTTTCTGTCCCCACACATGGTTGTTTTTGTGCCATGAAGGATCACACACCTCCTTTACTCTGAGCTTCCCTCCCAGTCGTCTTCTTCTTCTTTGCCCTTTAGTGTTCTTTGACAGTTTTCCTACTCATGAGTCAGTTTTCTTTTTTTTTTTTTAATTGGGGTATAGTTACTTTACACTGTTGTGTTAGTTTCTGCTGTACAACAAAGTGAATCAGCTATATGTATAGTGATATACATGTATATGTATACTGATATATATCCCCTCCCTCTTGGACCTCCCTCCCTCCCACCCCATCCCACCCATGTAGGTCATAATAGAGCACCAAGCTGAGCTCCCTGTGCAATACGGCAGCTTCATATTAGCTATCTATTTTACACATGGTAGTGTATATATGTCAATCCTAATCTCCCAATTCATCCCACCTCTCCTCTCCCCTGTGTCCACATGTCCATTCTCTACGTCTGCATCTCTATTCCTGTCCTGCAAATAGGTTCACCTGTATTTTTCTAGATTCCACATATATGCGTTAATATACGATATTTGTTTTTCTCTTTCTGACTTACTTCACTCTGTATGACAAACTCTAGGTCCAACCGCATCTCTACAAATGACCCAATTTCGTTCCTTTTTATGGCTGAGTAATATTCCATCATATATATGTACCTAAGTCTTGGCTGCCCTGACCCTCTGCAGCCCCACACAATAGTCACCATAGTAAGTCATCGAGGATGCTGGTACCCTCGCTTGTTTAACTGCTTTGACTGCTAAAAGACCCTTACACACTTCAGTGATTCTATTTCTTTACCTATAAAACAGGAATAAGTAACATTTTATCTGTTACATCCATAACTTTGTGGAGAGAAGAATGACATCTTGTTTGCCAAAATTCTTTGAAAAATCAGTCGCATAATAAATAATAGTTGACAAAAATTGTACTTTAGATTTGGGAGCAATTGATCTGAAGGACCATGTTTCTTTTGGGGGTTTTCCAAGGTTAGGCACAAAATAATAGCATTATAGCCAAATAGAATAATACTTAGTTTTTATTCTTTAGAGAAGATAAAGGGCAGGTCGGTATAAATTCAAGTCTTTACTATTAATAGCTATGAGAGACAACACTTTTCTCCAGCATATTGCTACTAGAATGCACTTAGGAATATTTATGTTATTTGTTATGTTACTTATGTTATTATGGACTCATGGGATTCCAAGACACACTAGATCTTTTGACTGTGGAGTGTGCTCAGGGTAAAAAGCATCAATAAACACCAGCTCTGAATTCAGCCACTTGACACCCTCGGCTGGCAATCCCTCCCCATCCTTACCCAGCTCACATCTTGGTGGGAAGTTCCAGGCTCCCTGGGGCTCTTCTCCATCACAGGCCTCCCAACAGGCATTGTTGTTCCCTGCAGTAAAGAATGAAATCCCACAGACATCTCAATTTATGACCAAGGAGGAATCACAGCAAGAAAATAACTAGAAAATCAAGAAATCCTGAGAAACTGGAAGGACCCACTCCCCAAAATAACCTGACCTGAAGGTTAACTTTGCACCAGCAGCTTTCACTAGGGGCTGAGGAATTCATCCATTGTGGAAAAATCTCCCTTTCCGTTTTTTTTTTTTTTTTTAACATCTTTATTGGAGTATAATTGCTTTACAATGGTGTGTTAGTTTCTGCTTTATAACAAAGTGATTCAGTTATACATATACATATGTCCCCATATCTCTTCACTCTTGCATCTTCCACCCTCACACCCTCCCTATCCCACCCCTCTAAGTCGTCACAAAGCACCGAGCTGATCTCCCTGCGCTATGCGGCTGCTTCCCACTAGCTTTCTATTTTACATTTAGTAGTGTATATATATCCATGTCACTCTCTCACTTTGTCCAAGCTTACCCTTCCTCCTCCCCGTATCCTCAAGTCCATTCCCTAGTAGGTCTGCATCTTTATTCACATCTTGTCCCTAGGTTCTTCTGACCAACTTTTTTTTCTTTTTTTTTTTAGATTCCATATATATGTGTTAGCATACGGTTTGTTTTTCTCTTTCTGACTTACTTCACTCTGTATGACAGTCTCTAGGTCCATCCACCTCACTACAAATAACTCAGTTTTATTCCATTTTATGGCTGAGTAATATTCCATTGTATATATGTGCCACATCTTTATCCATTCATCTGTTGATGGACACTTAGGATGCTTACATGTCCTGGCTATTGTAAATAGAGCTGAAATGAACATTTTGGTACATGACTCTTCTTGAATGATGCTTTTCTCAGGGTATATGCCCAGTAGTGGGATTGCTGGGTCATATGGTAGTTCTATTGTTAGTTTTTTAAGGAACCTCCATACTGTTCTCCATAGTGGCTGTATCAATTTACATTCCCACCAACAGTGTAAGAGGGTTCCCTTTTCTCCACACCCTCTCCAGCATTTATTGTTTGCAGATTTTTTTTTTTTTTTGCACTACGTGGGCCTCTCACTATTGTGGCCTCTCCCGTTGCGGAGCACAGGCTCCGGACGTGCAGGGTCAGTGGCCATGGCTCACGGGCCCAGCCGCTCTGCGGCATGTGGGATCTTCCCAGACCGGGGCACGAACCCGTGTCCCCTGCGTCGGCCGGCGGACTCTCGACCACTGTGCCACCAGGGAATCCCTGTTTGTAGATTTTTTGATGATGGCCATTCTGACAGGTGTGAGATTATATCTCATTGTAGTTTTGATTTGCATTTCTCTAATGATTAATGATGTTGACCATCCTTTCATGTGTTTGTTGGCAATCTGTATATCTTCTTTGGAGAAATGTCTATTTAGGTCTTCTGCCCATTTTTGGATTGGGTTGCTTGTTTTTTTAATATTGAGCTGCATGAATTGCTTGTATGTTTTGGAGATTAATCCTTTGTCAGTTGCTTCATTTGCAAATATTTTCTCCCATTCTGAGGGTTGTCTTTTCATCTTGTTTATGATTTCCTTTGCTGGGCAAAAGCTTTTAAGTTTCATTAGGTCCATTTGTTTATTTTTGTTTTATTTCCATTTCTCTAGGAGGCGGATCAAAAAAGATCTTGCTGTGATTTATGTCATAGAGTGTTCTGCCTATGTTTTCCTCTAAGAGTTTGATGGTGTCTGGCCTTACATTTAGGTCTTTAATCCATTTTGAGTTTATTTTTGTGCATGGTGTTAGGGAGTGTTCTAATTTCATTCTTTTACATGTAGCTGTCCAGTTTTCCTAGCACTACTTATTGAAGAGGCTGTCTTTTCTCCACTGTATATTCTTGCCTTCTTTATCAAAGATAAGGTGACCATATGTGCATGGGTTTATCTCTGGGCTTTCTATCCTGTTCCATTGATCTATCTTTC